TTTCTTGTATGTACATATTTTACAATGAAAAAAATTTCCACAGTTATAAAATTGTTTCTACAAAACTTGATACTTTGATAAGACCCTGTAGTGTTATGTGTTCTGGCTCCAGCTTCTTAGAATATCTAAGAGATATGGTATGAGTGAATTTCATGTGGTTGATCTCACTGCATGGAATCCTTCTTCACTTCAAAACAATTTTTAGTCAAAACTGTTCAGTGATGTACTTACAAAAGTTTTGCATAGCACATAGTTTTAATTTTTAAAAAGCCAATTAATGTTTACTGTATTGTAAGGTGTAGAAGAGAATGTCTATCTTCTTTAGCTATTCCTTTAGAGGCTCACAAAAAGTCATTTCAAAATTGTATTTCATTATTGAAACCCAATCTTGTAAAAAACCACACTGAAACAGAGTCTATCAACTACCATACAGTGCAACATACTAAAAACATTATAAATGTCCCACCGTGTGCAACCTGTTCTAATACTTGTGCCTTTTTGTGTATAGCGAAGCTTCACGTGCATATTCTCAAGGTATTTGCTGGCAAAGAAATGCAGCTGTTCCCCCCCCCCCCTTCATTTGTGTTCCATGATTATTTCGGACATTTTTATCTTGGCAAGAAGAAAACTATTTCCCCAATGGTGTGTTGCTTTTTGGCTTTCATTTTTAAGAAAGTTCAGAGGAGGCTTTTTAGCATTTCTTACTGGTGACTTTTCTTTAAATTGTTGACTTGAATAGTACAATACTTACACATGCTGAAAACATGCTTGAGTTTTGCCTTCATGTCTGTATGTTTAGTTTTTAAATGGTTAGCTAATTGTGATTGACTCAGAATATTATTATTAACTATATATACACACTTAAAGTAAAGTCAATGTTAGCATAAGTAGATGTAAATTCAGACATAAAATGGTATTCTTTAATAACAATTACTATGGCCAAATATTTTCAGATCTGATTAGTCATTAGTTTTTTTTTTTTTTTTTACCTTAATGTGACTCCCAAAGTGTAAAAAAATGTTAGCTTGGCAGGTTGCGTTTGTCTGTTCTTGCATTTTTAACACTATTTCCATTGGTTCATGATGTAAGGTAGTTTACTTAAAGATCACCCATAATCCCCTTAGCTAGATACCAAAGTTGCAACATGAGGCCATATGTTGGAACTGCCAAGGAGAGCCCCCCATTGCTGTGTCTCCCACCCTTCCCCTAGAGCAGCTCACGAACCTGCCCACATACGAATCAGGAGGGGGTGCCAATGCCAATTCCCTCACTAAATATTAGTAAAGCTTAATTTTCTCCTCTTTTTCATTTTAAAAAAATCCGAGTATTTGTGATTAGACATATAAATATTTTACTTTGGATTTCAGTGGGCATCTTCTGCACCCCACTTTGGAAACCCTTGTTCTAAATAAGGAGTCTTAAATTTTTGTGTTTTAACCTCAGAACCCTTTACTTAAAAAAAAAAAAAAGAACCAAAACATCAAACTCTAATATCTAAAGGAAAAGATGGCAATAAAACTGCTATAATCAACTTGCATGGAATATTTCTCTGTTACCTCCTCAGAAGAGACTTGAAGATTCTTCTGAAGAAACACTTGCTTCTTCTGTAGAAGACTATAAAAGTTGGTATATTCATATTCATGATCTGGGGACCAGTAATAGCTCACTGAGTTACATGTACCATACACTACATCTTATTTGGGGACAAAAACATCTAACAGAGTGGATATGGAATGATGGCACTTCAACTATTAAAAGAAGAAAAAGTAGCTTTTGGGCTAGAAGCCTTTCCTGTGTGCTCTCCAGTGACCTTGAGGTTGGAGGCATATGATCATCTAAGTTGTTACATTTTGTTTCAATTTGTCCAGGCAAAAGTAACAGTTTTAAATGCCATTAATAAGGGAAACTATAAATAAATAAACCAAATAAAAATTTACAATGAAAAGAAAATAACTACTAAAAAGTGATCTTAAGATAATTTTGAAAAGTATCTTTACCATGTTAGGAAATGGACCATCTATGATATTGTATTAGCCAAGATAAGTAACACTAGTTGCTGTAATAACCGACCTCAAAATGTCTGGCTTAACTCGGTGAAGATGTAGTTCTCTCATATCACAGTAGGATGCATGCTGTGAGGAGGTTGTGCGGTAACTGGTCATTCACTGACTGATTCCACACTGCAGTGCCAATGTCTTCAAACACATGATTTTAAGGTTGACCTACCTTTATCTGGTTGGTGGATGGAAGGATAAAAGTGGAGAACAGCTTCTCTTTACTCAGTGGGATCACATTTCATTTGTGAGAACTCACATGGCCCTACCTATACACAAAACATTTAGAAAATGTACATATCTTGGAAGAGAAAATGGGTTTGGTCAGCATCTAGCCAGGTTTTGTCTATATGGGATTAAGAAGGTCTAGACCAGGATTCCCAACCTGTGTCTTGAGTACCACCAGGTCTGACCTCAGTGGAAATCAGTTGGGGGACCTCCACCACTTTTTTCTGCCTGCCTTAACAGAGGAACTTGCACAACAGCACTAAATTTACCTGTTTCTCCTTCAGCAGGTGATGATCATGCATGTCCCCACCTTTGCATGTGATTTGCATGATGTTTTATTTTTAATATGCCTTCCCTTCCAACCTCCTCTTCCTCCAAACCTAGCAAACTTTTCCTCATCTTTTAGACCTACGGCAATGTTTACTTCCTCTATGAACTTCTCTCTGGTGACACAGAGCACTGATCTTTTCTAAGCACTCACTGAATGTTTTTCTTTTATTGAATGCATGAGCTTATACCATAATTATTAAGGAACCAGAATATTTGCAAATAGATGGGGGTGTTTATGTTCACAATCTAGTGACTGTTAGTAGACTCAGTTTCTTCATGGCAAGGACAAAGTCTTGTGTATCCTAGTATCTTCCATGCCTACACAGCACAGGCCTGGATCATACATACTTAATAAATGAGGGGGAAAAAAATGAATGCTTTCTCCCTTCCTGCCACTTTCCAGTTGTCACAGCTCTGGTGTCCTTTTGTTTGTTCTTGTATGTCTGGTATTGTAGTAAAAACACACACATAAAATTTGCTATCTTAACCATGTTTTAGTGTTTAGTACAGTAGTGTTAACTATATGTAATTAGTTGCGCAATAAATCTCTATAACCTTTTCATCTTGCAAAACTGAAAGTCTATGCCTCTAAACAACTCCCCTTTTTCCCTTTTCCCGGCCCCTGGTAAACACTGTTCTGCTTTCTGTTTCTAAGAGCTTGACCACTTTAAATTCCTCATAGACACAGAATGACATACAGCTTGTGTTTTTGTGACTGGCTTATTTCACTTAGCACTATGTCCGTAAGGATCATCTATGTTATAGGATATGATAGGATTTCCTTCATTTTTAAAGGTTAATAGTTCATTGAGCACAGTGTGATGGTGAGCACCTGTAGTCCCAGCTATTTGAAGGCTGAGGTGGGAGCATCCAGCCTGGGCACCATAGAGAAAGCCCATCTCAAGGGAAAAGAAAAAGGGTGGTGGGGGTCAATGATCATATAGAGAATGCTTCCTATTCTACTCTTTTCAACGGAGTAATAAGGGCCCATAATAAAAAGATGTTGACATTTCCAAGGTCTCTAGTCTTCTTAGGGCGCCCCCAAGCACCTCCTGTGCTCAAAACACAAAGCACTCAAAACAGGTCTGTTGAGAAAAGAGACAGCCCAACTTTACAGTAGGGCAAAATAAATAAAGGAGAAACAAGAACTCTTTAAAGCAGGGTGTGTAAGAGTTTAACGTTTATGGAGGAGTCCCAGCGTAACCTCTGGCCTGTCTTGGGATTAGCAGTCATTCCCTTCATCCCATGATAGGCACAAGATAGTTTGAGGCCCTTGAGGGACATCCACAACCTTTACTTCAGTGTGTCATCATCAAAGAATCCAAAGTATCCTTCCATTAACATGATCGTTATTGTTTCAGTTGGTCTGTGAGCTATTATTAAATATGTAGCCATGTGTATTGAAAAATCTCCAAGTAAACTAGCACCATTTCCTTTAAAAAACAAAAACTGATCACACTAAAAATCCAAGCATTTAAAATGTTGCAGATTTTTAGTACAATATGCCAAATATAGCTTGAAATAGTAAATAAACCCCCAAAAGCGATATTAGCAAATTAATTAGGATGTGAACAAAGAACCTTTTCTGCAGGAGCATGAATGTTGCCTTTATTTTTTTTTCCCCCTCACAAGTATGATTTTAGAAAACAGCTGCAGCGCATGTTGACAAATGACAAAACGGCAGACGTGGTAAAAACACTTTTGCTCAAGGCCAAAGCGGGAGGTGTGGGGGAGAGGGGGGAGACTGGGTTCCCGAAGCAGCACTGGGGCTGGAATCCGTGGCTTCGCTAACCTTTTCCAGTCCCCACCCCCTCTCCTGGCTCGGGTTACAGCCTTCGGAGTTGAACAAACTTGCTGCAGGCGGATTGGCGGCAGGAGCTCTGGGGCCCAGGCGCTGTATTTATTAATTTATGTTCCGCGGCGCCCCGCGCCGGCCGAGCCTTTGTATCGGCCGCAGCCATCCGGACCCAGGGCCTCGGCTGGGAGCGCGTCCCCCGCGCCTGCCGGATTCCCAGGGCCCGCACGTGTCCGGCCGGGCTGGCCGAGGGGGCGGAGGCCCCAGCTTTTATTTATTTATTTTTCCCCCCCCACTTTGCCAGGAGGAGGAGGGGGGGGAGGAGGGGGAGGAGGAGGGGCAGGAGCAGCCGTAGGAGGCGACAGTTGCCCCGCCAGGGAGGCGCGGCGGAGAAGGGACTGTGGTCAGCTGAATCCACTCGGGGCTGCAGACCTGCCCCGCGCCTGGCTACTCCCTGCGGCCGCCCACGATGTCCCCCCGCACTTCCTGAGCGGCTGGCAGTGTGCCCCCGATCCCCAGCTCGCTCTCTGGCTCGCGCGGCCCGGCTCTGCGTCGGCCGCGCCGCGGTGGAGGCGCGCGAGGGGGACGCGGCCGGGGATGAGCAAATTGCGGGTAAACACGCCGCCGCCGGGCCACGAGAGGCCGTGAGGAGCTGGTTTTCTCCCAGTCGCCGCCCTGCCCTTGGATTTGAGATCATGTACGTACGCCTCGCCGTCCTGCCATTGTCTCTACCCGGACGCGTGCGGTGCGCTGCGCTGCGCCCACCCTCGCGCCGCGGGGGCCCTCGGCCCCTCGCTCTTCCTGTGCCCAGGAAAGTGATGGGGCGCTGACCGCTGTCCTCTCTCCTTTCGGCCCCTTCTGTCCCTGCAGGTCCATTCACATCGTGGCGCTGGGGAACGAGGGGGACGCTTTCCACCAGGACAATCGGCCGTCGGGGCTCATCCGCACTTACCTGGGGAGAAGCCCGCTGGTCTCCGGGGACGAAAGCAGCTTGTTGCTGAACGCGACCAGCACGGTGGCCCGTCCGGTGTTCACCGAGTACCAGGCCAGCGCTTTTGGGAACGTCAAGCTCGTGGTTCATGACTGTCCCGTCTGGGTGAGGGCATTTGCTTGCCTTTTTTTTTTTTTTCCCTTCCCCCCCTTCCATAAATGTGGCTTGGCCTCATTACCTGGGTAGTCTTCAAACTTTTGGTTTTTGAAATCTGGTCCTTTGTTTCAATGGGCCTGGTGGAGGGACAGCCCAGTCAGAGAACACTCCTGTAAGGTAAAAAGCCCCGGTGGGAAGGTGGTTTGTCCCTTGGTAGACAGCTGACAATTGATTGTGCCCCTAAAGGGACGGGGGTCACTAAGTTCCACTAGCAAAGAGCGGTGTGTTTTCATGCCTATCCTGTGGGGAATAGGGTCTTATTAGTGTTCTATAAATACAGCCCTCTTACAGCTCAACACTGGCAAAAATACTTTTCCCTGGGACAGTTCAGAAATAGTATGGAAAGGAGGAGAAAAGACAGAGACTGACAATTTTAAATAGTTCATTTAGAATACTGTTAACATCTGCAAATTTTTAAGTAGTGTTTTAATTTTAATACTATGCAGATATTGGCTGTTTATTTTTAGTGATTCATAAATCAGAAATACGAATATTGGCTGGAATTTGGAAAAAAAACTTAAGATTTGTGATAGTTGAAAAAATGATAATGAAGTAGATAAATCTCAGCCTGATTCTTGACTGTTTGATAAAAGGACAAAGGAATCTGCTCCTTGACATAAATATTTTCAGTACTCAATAACATTTCAGATGTTTTCGTGTAATCTTTGGAAATGGAGTTATACACATTTCAGGTAAAGATCACATTTTATAAAAGAAACCTTAGTGTCTAAAAAAACATAAATTATCATTATGTGAGATTTTACCTTAAACAGCAGTTTTTCAAAACTGAATGAGAGCTATAGGGAAATAGCACACCTTTCTAAAGAAATGTGTAGAATATACATAGGAAAAATTTCTTATGCAAATTTTCATATTATGGAAAGAAAAGACTACTTGCCCAGATAAATTTTCAGTTCAAAGAGAGTTATGTTAATGTGCTAAAATAAACTAAAAGAAGGCTTTTCAGCATAAAGGATGCTGTTCAAAAGAAGCATCCATGGAGAACTTACCAGCTGGACTCTCTGCAAGCAAATGAAGCAGTTTTACTTTTGGCATTTTCATTATCAAAGATATTATTGCTTACAAACTTACTTGTTCAACACACTGTTGAGCTAATGTTTAGTGAATAGAGTAAATAATGCAGACAAAATAAAATCAGCCAAATGTTAAGATTGGTTTTCCTGTTTTTAATTTGAGCCTTTAACCCTTTCCTGTTTATGTTGTTAATTTAGCAAAGATAAATGCTTGTGATCCTGTGTATTGTGTATAGTATAATGAAATCTTCCAAATGGGTAGAGTATGCCTTCATAGTCTGGATTTTTGCTATGACTGATGGTTATGATTTATTGTGCTAGTTACTTTTTGTATGGTTGGACCCTAGTGGCACCAAGTTTGTAACCAGGTACAATTTTCTAGGTTATAAGGAGTCTCAGACGTAGCACAGTACATTTCTAGGTGTTTTTCTTTTCTGGATTGCAGGGAAAGCCATCAGAGAGAGAGACAGTAAAGTTGAGTGTATTAATCGCTGTGTTAACTAATCGTGTTGATTTATGTACTGGATCACAATATCAAATACAGCAGAGCAGACAACACAGGTTTTGGTAACAAAAGGAACTGATTTCAAATCCTTGCCTTGCCATTTAGTGCCTCTGTGTCTTTAGTAAATCTTTCACCTTCTCTCAGCCTTATTTTCCTGTCTATAGAGTAGTCATAATAATCTTTGCCTCCTGGAGCTGCACTGAGATATAAATGAGATAGTACTTGCATGGCTGTAAGTGTAGAGGCTGGCATGGAGTAGGTGCTTCAAAAGTGGTAGCTACTACAATTAAGTGTTCATTGTAACTTTAGTATAGTCATGTGTCACTTGTACTACACAAAGGGAAAGTTTTCCCACATGCCAGTTAGAATATACTAATACAGTACTGTTGTCAGTACTTAGTAGATGCTGTATTTATAGCCCTACAATCAAGTAGAAACGATCACTGTAGAAATTCAGATTTTTTTAAAACTTTAAAACATTCTCCAAAAGTGTCTCCAAGCTCCGTGTTGCATAACCCCCTAGAGGAAATCCTGGAACTGATTTACAAGGGGTGGGAGAATTTGATTTCCTTCTCAATTCTAGAAACCAGTGGAGCATTTTCTCTTTGACATAGCTTGAGAAGAAATATGTTGTTGCTTCCCCGGAGTTGGAATTAGATACTTGTATTTTCTTCCCAAGTTATTTTCTGTAGATCCTTCTTAGCCTTATTCCAGCTCCTTGCCTTCTATGTACTTGGCACTTTTTAAGAAAGTACCTCAAATTCATTAGCTCATTATTTAGTGTGTCTCTTTCATCTACCCTTTTTTGTGCAGTCACATTATTAGTTCACTTCACATTTCTAGATCTTTTCCTGGCTATCAAAAATATTTTATAAAAAGCAGTGAGGTAAGATATTCACAGTGTTCTTGTGCAGATTTTAAGAAGTATTTACAGCCTGTATCCTCCATACCACCGAGTTAATGATGTCCAAATCAATTTTTTCCCCATTACATTTTCCTTAAACTTCCCCCTTTCCCATACACCTCTCCAATAACTCTGGAATTCTGAACTATTTGGAATGTGGGAAGCAAGTACTTTTGACTTATTCTCCTAGAATTAATGGCTGCTTAGTAATGGTCCCACCTATAGTCAGGTTTGAGCTCCATTTATCTGACTTTGCCCCCCCTTTTTTGTTATGTACTCTGTTGTACTTGTATACTTTGAACTTGAATGCTGTAACAGATACAGTTGCAAGTGACTGGGTTTTCTGTTTGTTTTGGGGTTTTGTTTTTGTTTTTTCTGGTGGTCCTGGGTTTGAACTCAGGGCCTCATGCTTGCTAGGCAGGCACTCTACCACTTGAGCCACTCTGCCAGCCCTTTTTTTTGTTGGGTATTTTTGAGGTAGGATCTCGCAAACTATTTCTTTCCCCTGGCTGGCTTTGAACTGCAGTCTGCCTGATCTCTGCCTTCCGGGTAGCTAGGGTTATAGGTGTGAGTCACCAATGCCCTTTTATGGTTTGGGGTTTGGAAATTCGTGTAGATTTCTTCTGGGAACTGTGCACTTTTTCTTGGCCTGTATCCCACACCCCTTCTCTCCACTCACCCCATAGTCTTTCTACCCAGTTTAGTCCTTTGCCATTTGGTGGCAATAATTCAGTTTGCCTTTTTTTTTAATTCCTTTAAAATGCTCTCCCTGTTACACTTTCAATAGTGTATTCATGCTAAAAATTCTGCAATTCTCCTTACTCAGAGTGTGCTTGTTGAGAAATGGACAGATGAGGAGGTATAAAAAATGAGGAGGCACCACTCAGAAGACACTCTCTCTGCAAAAGAGCTTTGTTGTATTACACACCATGAGAATTTTCCATCAGAGGATAAAAGCTCTGTCACATAGATCGTGGTTGGTTGGTTAAAACATTATCAATCCTGTCTTGGACTCATATTTCAAGTGCAAACTTTCATAGCCCAATAGTTTTTAGACCAATTAGCCACATCTAGCTGTCTTATTTCCTTATTCTTGCTTTATTACATTCTAGAAATGTATACCAAAGGCTGCATAAAAAGACAAATAATGATTAATAGTTACCTAGAATATGAGAAGAAGGCTACTTGTGTATATTTGGCAATGGAATTGAGATACATAAAGATAATTTCTTTCCTTTCTTGTGGCTGCACTGGGGATTGAACTCAGGGTCTTGTGCTTACAAAGCAGGCCCTCTCCCACTTAAGCCACTCCACCAGCCCAAGATAATTGCTGTATATTACTATATGCATAAAAACTTCAAAAATTATTTTTAAACTACCAAAGCACTAAATTTTTTAAGAAGTAAATACCATAATAAATTACTTATGGCCCCAAGTCTAAATATAAATATTACTAACTATAGTACACAAGTGAAGATTTCAGAACTAGAAAGGCTTATCCTAAATTTTTAATATAGGGGCAAAATACATAAACGGCAAATGTATTCCTTCTCATGTTAATACCTTGTAATACACAGTATGTTTTATAAAGGTATTCTTTCCCCACTATACCCTATGCATGTACAGTACAAACTTGAAAAGTATGTGTGATTTTTTTCAAGTATGAGTAAAATATATGGAACACCACAAAATTCACAATGTATTGCAATTGCAAGCACTGGAAACTCCTGCAGTGTATAACTGGGTTACAGATAGTCCCTTGAAGCTTCATTTTTCATGCTATGTTCTTGTATTGAATGCTATATTATGTTTTTGAAAGTATTAGGTGATCAAACACCAGCACAATTTTAAAAGTAAAGTGCTTCTTATTTAAGTACAGTAATTGAAAGAGATTGCTTATTTCATCAAACTTTAAAGAATTCTGTAAATGTCTTATTTAGCCAGAACATAGTTGTTAGATTAAATCAATAAAAAAAGATAGAATTGGCCAGCATCAGATATTTAAAATTTATATGTAGTTACCTATCTTAAAGTAAATTTACTTGAACTCCAAAAAATTAAAATAACAGCAAAGTATTTAAACTAATATGTTATAATTTATTTTATGGTATTTGAAAATAAGTTAAACTAAAGGTTGCTGTTTACCTTTTGGTTTAGGACATTTTTGACAGTGATTGGTACACCTCTCGAAACCTAATTGGAGGTGCTGACATCATCGTGATCAAATACAATGTAAATGACAAGTTTTCATTCCATGAAGTAAAGGATAATTATATTCCAGTGATAAAAAGAGCATTAAATTCAGTTCCAGTAATCATTGCTGCTGTTGGTACAAGACAAAATGGTAAGTACTTATGTTTTTTTTTTATAATGAACATGAAGGAACCATATTAAACTTAAATAAAGCCAAATTTATTAATGATTAATATCCCAAATGACTGTGGATTCAAATACCAGCTGTTACCTCTTCATTTGACCCTATCATAACACATCAAAGGAGAGGATCACAGAACTTGGCTGTGATTCTCATGGGTGAAAATCTGTCTTTTAAACTTCCCTTCTACAGTGGTGAAAGAAGTCAGTAGTTGTGTTCTTTTGACTTATGAAAGATACTAGGCTGAGGTTGAACCCTAGAGATACCTTTTTGACAATCTAAAGGTCTACTGAACTGGAAAGGATAGATTATTTACAGAAAGATCTGAGTGTAGAATGGTTTTTAGGCCAGTAACACACATGAGTTGAAAACACCAACAGTGCTATCTGAGGAAAGGAGTGTTCGTTCCATGGCTGATGGGTTCATTGAGTGAGGCAGCTCCAGCCACTGGTGCTATGTATATTAATGTCACATATGTAAGGGCCAACTCTCACTTTGATTTGGTTATATTTCATAGATATTCTTAACAGTATATTCTTAGTAAAGCTGTCTTTAAAATTTTGCTAATTTTGTTCTAACTCTTTTATTAAGGTATAGGAAAGGAAGGGACATAATAAACTTTGCTAATCTTAAGTACAGCCTAATGCATTTTTGCCTGTGCATACATTCTATGCACCTGTTACACAGATAAAAGTATAGAACATTTGCAGCACTTCAGAAGGCTCCCTTAGGCCTTTTTTCCAGGTAATAACACTTTTCCCCAGAGGTAACTGCTACTCTTGACTTCTAACATCATAGATTCGTCTTACTTATTCTTGACCTTCATACAAATGCAATTATATCATAATAGTGCTTATGTGTAGTTTGCTCTTTTTATTGCTTTCTATAATTCTATTGTATGAATATGCTATAATTTATGTATCCCTTCTCCCTTTAATGATACTTAGGTTCTTCCTAGGAGTGGAATTGTTGGGTCATAGGGTAGGTATATGTTTAGTATTAGTAGATACAAATAAAGCAAGCTTAACACATCCTCATGACTTCCCTATCTTTTTTGTTTTTTCTGGTCATGATTCTTCAAGAGTTTTCCTAAGTCTACTTCCCCTTCATACTTCAACCTACTATAATCTCACTTCAACTTTCACATTTACACTTAAGTTCTCACTCAGGGTTACCAGTTATATTTGTATTTGCCAGGTTTAATACACTTTAGTGACAATTTTGTCTTTGAAATTATTCAAACATACCTCTCACTCTACTTAATAAAGTGCCCTCTCTTTCCTGGTTCTTCTAATTCTCTGTCTTCTTTTCTGGTCCCCTCACTACCCTCCCTCAAAGCACCAGCACATTGTGGAGTTGTTTCCCAGGCTTGCTGTGGCTTCTTATGGTGATTGTCCAGTCTGCTTCTGTGGCCCCAGTCTCTCTCCCAACCTTGCAGGTAGCATCTTCCATCTACAGAATTCATGCTCAGTGAATGATGCACAACCTCTCCATTCACGCAGAGGAGGACCTTGCTAGACCCACCTTTGTCTCTCAACCCCCACTTCAGTTAATTAAGAAGCTCTTTTGATGTTTCATTTAAAATAAATGTTAAGCTCACTGCATTCTTCTTGTGTCCATTGGATTTCAAATTGTTGTCATTTAACCATCTTTCATATTGGCAGTCAGTCTGGTTTCCTAAAACAGTAAGTTGCAGATTTTTGTAGGGCAAAAGTCAACAATTTTAAAGGTTCTTTGTGAGGGGAAAAATAATTGCAGATACATACACATAGAAAACTAAATTTTCATAATGAGCAAGGAAAGCACAACAAATTATAAATCTAAAAAAACTGTCAAATCCCACAAATGTTTAAAAGATGTTTCTATTTAACAGTGTGACACTTATTCACATTTTCTTATACCTTTTGGGCTATGAAGTCTTTGATCACCTCATCATATGAATCACTTTGTGATATTTTCTATAGAGAAAAGAGAAAGACAATCTGTTTTTCTTTCAGTTTCTTTACTCCCTACATCTTTCCAGCCCCAGGCACAAGAGTTCATATTGTACTCACATTTTAGCTCAGCATTCTAGTGTTTGTTGCCCAGTAAGTCTGCAGTGCAGATGCCAGAAACATTGCTAAAAGTCATTCCTATACTCGGATAGTTATCAAACACTTGACCTGTATGAGGAAGTATTGCAAACTACAAGTAATAGCTGTCTATATCTAAGGCTAAAATTCCCCTTAGTAGTATCTTGAAAATGCCATGGTTACTGCCAGGTACAAGGTAAATTAAGTTAGAATAGAAAGAGACAGTGATCTTAGTCAAATACAAAATATACAAAATAAAAAATACAAAATTATTTTGCAAATTTTACAGAAGAATATGACCATATGAAAGAATATAGTGTTTAGGTTCCCCTAGGACTTTAGAAGAACACTGTAAGAAAAGGGTATTGAAGCTTAAGCTTCACCAGCTTCATGGCAAATTGGCCTCTGACTTCCTCAGTTTGCCATTTACTGAAATAATTTTTCTCAGAATAATTATCAATACAAGTCAGATCATTACAACACTAATACTTTGAATTATTTAGGAACATCCTTCTTCACTTTTAGTTTGCAAAATTCATACCTAAGAAAGTTGACAAACATAAGACATTGAGCCCCAGAATTCACAAATGCATGTGGGAGTGTGTGTGTGCACACACACACTCTTTTGTCTGAACCATTTGAGTCTAAATGGTAAACATTACAGGACTTCCTCCCTCCTAATTGCTTCAGGATTCATCATCCTAAGAATAGGCCATTCTTTTCTTAACCATAAAACAATCATGACTCAAGAAATTTAACATACTATTATCTACTGTGCTACTGCTTTAAACATTTTCCAAATTATTCCAGTAATGTGATTTATTTACAGCTGCGTTTTTTTCCCAACCCAGGATGTAAATTGCACATTGTATTTATTTATTTGTCAGGTCTTTAGTCTGTTAATACAGAATAGTTCCCCAGTGGGCTTTTAGGGGAAGGGGTGTCTTTCATACCACTGAGATTTTAAAAGAATTTGGACTCATTATTTTGTATAATTCCTTCAGTTTAATAAAATGTGCTTGCAAAATAGTAATTTTTCTATCACTCCTTCTATGCTTTAGTTGGTTTTCTGTAAACAGCTTTCCTTTCACTCTGCTCCCATACCTTTCTTGTAGAGTCATTATGATTCATACATACATTTTTTAAACTCAACACTTTATTATCTATTTTCTTGATTATTCTTTCACATAATCACATTACCTCATGTTTGGCTACTGAGTACTTTTTCAGGCTAGCTCCACTCAATTGCTAAGCCCACCCTTATTTTTCAGCACAAGGTATTCAAAGCTCTCCTTAGACTTTGCCCATCTCAGCTCTGGAATCCACCTTTTCTCAGGGAGCTGTGGTTCCTTTTAGTGAGGAGTGGTATTTAGAAACCCCATCTGGTCTCTAGGGCACTCATTTCTATAGGTGTCGTTGCACCTGATCCTTTCAATGGATAGAGCCAGGGAGGTATACATCTATATCTCCCTGCTTTTCTAACGTCCAGGTCTCTATGTGGGTGCTATACCCTACGATTGGAGTGCTCCACTATACATCCTCTATCATATCTGCATAGCAAATTCATATTTACCCTGTAAGCCATTACCTTTTCTGTGAAGTCTTCCATAATCCCTACAGGCAGTTAATTTCTTCTCCTCTGTTCCCATGGTAACTATGTATACCTTTATTTTAGTACTTATTATATTATGTTACACATGTTTGCAGTCATGCCTATCTCGGCTCAGTTGACTATGAGTCTTTTCTATCTTTCTATCTTTATATGCCTATTGTTTGATGTGTGGTAGGTGTTCGATATATACGTGTTTAGTGAGTGAATGAAAGGTTTTCTGAATAATCTAAGTGAAAAGAATCAATTTCACTAACAAGATGAAATTAATTTACCATACAAGATGTGATTAAAGGTAGTTACAGAGCTAAATCTGGTTATTCAACTCAAGGACCTTTATTGCTGTCCACCTACTCCTCCTGCACACTTTCCTTGTAATACATGAAACTGAGCTGGGTGGTCTCCTGGTAATTCTCGGAACCTTTTGTAGAACTTGTCCAGTAAATAGTCTTGCCTTTTTCTTTTGTGTGCATGTGTGTGTGTGTATGTGTGGGATTATTGGTGTGCCGCCACTCCCAGCACACGTTCTTGGCAAGCTTGACTATGTGAATGTCTTCATCATAGTTGGCTCTGAGTAAATTTTTGGCTTTTACTAAATAGTAAATCTATCATTAAAAGATGATTTTTTAGTGTGCCTAAGATGCATTCATTGCCTTGAACTCCTGAAAACGGGTATCCTATCTTTCAGTTATTTTTGAAAGTCTGATACAACTTGGTATGTTGCTGTGCTAGAATTTTTTAAACGAATTTCTAAAACTTTCAAACAATGACAACATTGTAAGAATCACCCTTTAAGTTCCCAAAGCCACTACTTTGAAAGAGATGCTCTTCATTTGAATGCCAGAATTACACTGTGTTTGCTTTTTTAAAAAGTAGACATTTATGGTAGCATCTTAAAAGATAGTATGTAGGGCTTGAGGTGTGGCTCAAGTGGTAGAGCACCTACCTAGCAAGTGTGAGGCCCCGAGTTCAAACCCTAGGCCCACCGAAAGAAGGATAGTATGTAAGGAAAAAAGACTACAGTGTTAGGTAGAAGTATAGCCCTGTGATTTCCAGAGCCAATATAACCATGAGGAAGTACAATTTAAAGTTATTTTGGGTCCTCTGATTGTTTCTGATAAAATGCTTAATATAAATTCAATCTAGAAATGTTTTATTGGTTCTCCTTCTAAAACTACCTCAGTCAGACCTTTACTTAGAATCTTGTACAACTGGTTGATGTGAAAGAATGTGGGAATGGTTCAAAATGACTAATTAGGAACAAAAGCCTATGAAGGTTTGAAGAAATAATATTTTAGAATTCAGGTAAGTGACAACTAATTACCACATCATATTGTGTGCAATGACTAGACATTTTTCCTTGTTGGTGCGTGAACAAAAAGAAATGTCTTTAGTGCCATAAAGAAATGGACTCACAATGGAAAACCCTACTTAGCTGGCGTAAGCCTAAAATTAGTTGTACTTTTTCTTCAGGTCACAATTGTTTATTAAAATTACTCTCCATCATGTTCACTTCATTTTTCACTTTAAAAACTACTGATTTGGCTTAGTTTTTGTCTAGAAATAAAATTTAATAAGATGATCTGCCTACACACTCCATTCCTTCAACATAAGGAGATCTCTGTAGACATAAGAAGACCTCTGTCTTCAAAAAATCAAAGACACTGTTTATGAAGGCTTTGTAAAGAAGGAGAAATAGCTTGTGTTATTTCACAAGATAGACTAAATTCTGCATGAAAACTTTGCTCCAAACCTAATGTAATGCTGGAAAAGGTAAAAGCAAAACCTCAGATTAGGATTGATGGCATAATTAAAGAAGCCAAGCATAATTTTTAAATCACCGTCTCTTTGGAATCAGTAATTTTTTTACTCAAAATAAAGTTTTATTCTATACTTTGAGTCACTTTTACTTATCAGGTGGAGCAAGTAACAGTTTCATTATTGTTCCTCTATCTCTAACTCACAAGCAGACTTGAGCATGTCACATAACCACTCTGAACAATAGTTTCCTCCAAAGGAAAAAAATACTTTTCATTCCTTCAATTTTTAATATTAAAGAAAAATATAAAACGTGATTGAATTTGGTCTCTGAAGTTGAATGCTTTGGAGTTAAGTGATTGAAATACCTGCATTAATAAGAATATACTTCTTAGGAAATTTACAAAGAGCAATAGCCTACAGCCTTGAAAATGAGATTAAATTGAGGGTTCTCTTAAAATAAAATTAAAAGGCTTATTCAAACTTGGTGAATATAGTTATATACTTAAAGTTTATTACAAAGAAAATTCAGCCTGTCATTTTTCATGGTTTCTATGGGGAATCGAGTTGTTAAATTTGAATTCTTTTCTGTTGGCCTAGAAATACTGACATTCAGGTTGTCAAGATTGTGTAAAAAGCAGCAGGTCTGATGTTACCGTCTGGTTAGCTTTGGTAGTACCCACTTGCCTATTTTTACATTCTTCTGTTTTCTAAATTTTCTAAAATATTTAAAAATTTCTAAAATTACATTTATTCTCCTTGCACTTAATGCTTGTTATCTTCAGGGTTTTCTACTCACATTGATACTTTTTGTTCAGAGTCTAGAGGATAATGATTCCGATATGAGATCTTAATTCATTGTTTAATGTTCATATTGCCTGTGTACATTTTTTCCTGTTTAATTTCAAAACTCTTTGTTTCCCAAATTCATTTTCTCAGAAGAATTACCTTGTACATGCCCACTATGTACCTCAGACAGGGGGAGCTGTGTTAGTACGACAGAAGGAATCCAACTTGCGAAAGAACTGGGAGCCACCTATCTTGAACTACACAGCCTTGATGACTTCTACATAGGAAAATATTTTGGAGGAGTGGTAAGAGGAAATTCCTGTTACATATAAAGCCATTTGTCAGGTGAACTCTTTAACTGTTTTCTAGAACATCAGCTAGAACTTTAGTTTTGAAGCATGATTAGGCTTAACCTTGAAAAGGTTAATCAGAGTAAAATTAAAATTTTTCTATCCAAATGAAACATTTTCTATTTTCTAATATGAAAATTTAGAGTTTTTCATTTGATGCTTTATTGATCGTCATTGTACATATCAAAAGCCTATTTTCTTTCACAAACCTGCATGAATTAATAGTAATCTTTATGCGGCCAAATGAACTAACAGCCTGAACGAGTGGGCCCTAAAAGTCCTCTTTATTTCTGTCCAGTAGTTGGGAAGAATGATTTTTCCTCCTTTTATGTGTGCCTTGGCAAGATTTCACATACTAATCTTGTTATAGTTCAAACAGTAGCTTATACAAGTAGCTTATGTTGGCTATGTGGGAGCTGAGGTTCGCTTGCCCAGTGGCAATGGCATTTAGTCTGTTTGTGGTCCATTTTGAGCCCCATCTTAACACACGCAGCATCTACCCTATATTAAGTCTGTAGGGTCCTTAGTACTATGGAATTCTATCATTTTAAGAATTTGAACTATTTCTCTCATGCTTTTAAGAGGTAACCCCACTCAGCAGACAAATCTGATAATCATCTATGTGAGGTAAAACAAAAGAAAACTCTATGTTAAGCATGAGCACTTTGGAATTCTCCATCAGTCCCCTAGCTCCTTTTTGAGTGTTCTCCACAATATGCTGGAATATCCATTATGTATATTCACTTTGAAATGTTGAAGTTTCCAAAGATGACCATAGAAATTTCATTTTTCCTGGAGCTAAGCTGGCTAAAATAAGGAACAAAATAAATGATTCTGATTTGTATCAAATATAAATGGCATTATTCATCCAGTAATTATACTTAGTGGCTTTAAATTTTTTTAGTTTGTTCAAGAACTATACATTTCCTTGAAATACCTTGAGAATCATGGGAGATTCCATCTCTCATTCATTGAGAGATTTCCTTTATTGGCTACTTCACTGGTTGGATTTGGTTTCATTTGTGCAAGAGAAAGCTATTCTATTGGGAGCATTAAGTCTCCTGTTTCATATTCCAAGACCCAGAGCCTGAAAATTCAGGATCATTCTTTCCCCCTTCCAACTTCCACTTTTTCTTCTCTCTTTCTCCTTTTCTACCTTGTTTCTCTTTCTTCTGAATACCTACTATTGCAATTATGGTTAAAGGCATGGTGAGGATTAAAAATGTGATCGAGGTTGGAAAGATAGGGTGGGTTTTTTTTTGTTGTTCTTTAACTCAAGACTGATGAGAATATGAAATAAGGTTAGGAAGCTCTGTCTAGACTCTTGAATGTGAAAGTGAGATCATGAGGGTAATAAATTCTAGCACTTGATGGAGGTGTTAATATTAGAGCATTTGGAATCTTGGATTTAAGAATCACGAATGAAGAGCTGTGCAGTTTTCCCTTCAGACCTGCTTCTGAGCATTAGAGAGCCCCATCTGGCACTTGTCTAGTTGTACCCCTCCCCACAGGACACAAGTACCTGGAGCCAAGGGGATGTGCCTGCCTGGAGCAGGTACCACCCACCTCCTTGTACCTGCACCGTCCATTGTGGCTATTTATATTTAGACGAATTGAAATAAAAATAAAACAAAAAAATTCAATTCCTCTGTCATTCTCATCACATTTCATGTGCTTTGTAGCTGCAGCAGCTTCTGTATTGGATAGCACAAATATTATAGAACATTTCCATCAACACAGAAAGTTGTATTGGACTTTATTACCAAACCCAGGACTCCAGGAGTCTGTGGCCACTGGTCAGAGTCTGTTTTCTGGGTCTGTCCTCCGGAAGGTAGACTACATTGCTGGAGTGTGTACCCTAAGGCCTGAGAGGAGGTAAAGAGATGACTTCTTATGGAGGATAGGGGGAATGGAGAGCAAAGGGAGCTTGGATGTCCACTGTATGCACAGAATTTCTCAAGACATTGGAAGGAGTAGGGATAAGAAGAGGAGGTGGTTATAGCGTCCAGGAGTTAAGGGTGATCTTTCATGTGCTATATGAACCTCTGAGGAGTCTAAGAATTTAAATCTAAAATTGGCTGGCCAGGCCTTTGTGATGGTATATTTGTCAAAACAGGAGTATAGAATATCTTTCTATAATATAAAAGTTGGTTTTTTATTTATAGCACTCAAATATTGTGCTATGTGAGTGGATATTTATTTATGCTTTTGCCCCAGGCCTTGCAAGGCAGGTCACAGGCCTGGAGCTGTATAAATGCATGTGGATGAGATTTTTAGTTTGTAAAAGACAGATTTCAAAGAAATTTGTTCAAGAGGAACATCTGTAGACAAAGAGCCAGATCTTTTCCAGCCTTGGATTTCACTGGTATTAGCTGCAGTGTTTGCCCAACTGAGAAAATTGATAGCCACAGAGTCACAGTGCAAGGCTTCTTGATTATTCAAGAAAATTGTGTCAGTGGTGGGGGGGGATGGGGTGGGATCAGGTGGCACATTACTGTAATCTGTGCTACTTAGGAGGTGGAGATAGGAGGGTTGTAGTTTGAGGACAGGCCAAAGTTGTTGAGAACGTTTCTCAAAAAATTAAGCTAGGCGTGGTGGTTCGTGACTGTAATCCCTGCAATTCAGGAGGTGGAGGTAAAAGGATTACAGTCTGAGGCCCGGCCCAGGCAACAGTGAGAGACCAATTAAAGCAAAAAAGGCTGAGGGAGTGTCTCAAGTGGTAGACTACTGAGTTCAATCTTCAGTACCACCAAAGAAAAGAAAAAGAGGAGAGAGAGGAAGGAACGGAGGGAAAGAGGGTGGGGAAAAAGGAAGGAAGGACGAAAGTGAATTCTTTCTTGAATGAGTAAAGTTTATTTATGTTTAGACAAGGCACAGTCTTGTTCCTAGATACGTTTTTATGATTACAAAGGTTGTTTGCATGTGTTTGGTAGTGCATGGTACCAACATTAAAACATTTGGCCAGTGTGATTTTGGGTACAAATAATTATGTCAGAGGTAGAATTTTGCTGGAAATTTAATTCCAATTTGACTCATGTTTTAGTTGGAGTATTTTATGATTCAAGCCTTAAATCAGAAGACAAGTGAAAAAATGAAGAAGAGGAAAATGAATAGCTCATTTCATGGAATTAGACCACCTCAGCTTGAACAACCAGGTGTGTAGACAGTCAGTAGGTATTTATTATAAATCATTCCTTACAGGTATTAGAGCAGTTGTTCTCAGATTTACACATGCTCAGGAACCCTGTGACATTCTGATTCAGTGAACCTGGGACACAGCCCACAAGGCTCTCAGGTGCTACTTAAGTCACATTTTTAGAAAAACTGTTATAATTGAGCCTATGGATTCTGAAAAATAGCATGTGGTGGAGGGGAGCTCTTCTAGATCAAAGACTAATGTACAATACTGTTGAATGCCATGAATAAACCTCAATTAGATACTGGCTCAAAAAAATCTAAAAGTCATTCACTTGAATGAAATTTTAATATGGACTGGAAATTAGACATTATTACAGGATTATTATTAATTTTCTTATCTATGTAATGGTATTGTCGTTAGTAGGAGACTGTACTTACTTTAGAGGTGAATATGAAAATATTTTAGAACCAAGGTGTCCTAATGACTGCAAGTTACTTTTGAATGGATCAATCGTGTATGTGTATGCCTGTGTCTATGTTTGTCCTTCTATCTAGAGATAAGGCAAAAATGACAAAGTTAATTACAGGATTGAAATATGTTCACTGTATCATTCAACTTTTTGAATGTTTGAAATGTTCTTAATACAAGGGGGAAAATACAGTTAAAAATAAACGTTACTTTAAATATTATCAGCACTTTTGCATAATTTTGTGATAGAAATAGAATTTTTCTCTATTTGGTCAACTTGTTTTTGACATTGTTTTAAAAAATAGGCACTTGATAGTATAGTAGGGTGACTATAGTTTAAAGAATGTATTGATGTTTTCTGGAGAAATGGAAATGCTAATTCCCCTAGCTTGATTATTATACGTTGTACACATGTATTGGATAATCATATTGTACCGCCCTAAATATGTAGACTTCTTATGTGTCAATTAAAAAGAAAAAAATGTGAAGTAGGTGCTTAAAAAATACTTATTGAATAAATGAATATAAATAAAAATCAGAAAATATAAATTAGAATGGAAAGACATTTCCATGTTTAAAAAAATCTCAGTTACATAGATCATAGATGATACATATTTGGCTTTGAACTTTCTGATTTGCAAAGTGCAAGGGGAGACGTGTTCTATCATGTAGTAAGCCTAGGACCTTCAGTGCTTTCTGGAACAGAAGATGGAAGGGAAGTAACCAAACAAATAATGTACACAGCTAGCTAGTTGTTAGTTCTTATTGATTTGGAAGAGAAAACATCCTCAAGAAAGCAGATATTCCATGTCCTTTAGCACTAAAAGAAATTTCTCACTTGAGTCTTCATTTAGGGGCACTAGTTGAGACAGTAGACAGGATCTTCAAAAGTGCCCCTTTGGCAAGTGCAGCCTTCACTTTCACAACATTGTTTCCTGTATCATACAGTTTAAGATAACTGTGGCAAGCACTAAACAAAACAAAGATCTAGGATGATAAGCTCTGGGTATGACTTGCTCTAAGGGCAAGTCCTGTGCTCTGGAGTACATAGCTTTCAGACTGGTCTCAGCATTTCAGGTCTTAAGGGGAAGATAGAATGGAGTTCATTGCAGGGAGAGGCTGGCTCTCCAAAGCACCCTGTTATCTCTTTTATGGACAGAGCTTGGCTTTAGAATAAAGGATTTTCATTGCTAAAAAAAAGTTTGAATTTCCACTGATTTAGACCATTGCCTATACTTTCAGCAGCCCTTCACAGATATACTTTTAGCAAATCTTGGCTTGGCAGTCATTTTATAGTTGGGCTGTGTGATGAGGGTGTGGATATTCTGAACTGATGGAGGGCTCATCTCTCTTTGTTGATGATAAACTAATAAGTCTAAGATTACATCCTACTTTTTTGGAAATTAGGGATCTTAGTCAACGCTTTTGCTGAGGTCTGCTGAAAGCAAAGAGCTGTCGCACAAGGCATATTGTTTTACTAGGACTAAAAAAGACTAGGATCAAAATAAAATGGTTAAGGTGGGTTTAAACAGAGTATGTAGCTGGAGTAGTCACAATTACTAAGAAATGGAAATACGAAGAAATGTTAGTCCCCTGACATTGCAAAGCTGCAGAATATTAACAACATAACCCTTGACCTCCACTTCCAGTCCCAGAAGGGAAAGGACGTCAATTGTGAGATCAGGTTCTTCACAATTTATTCAGCACTTTGAATTTTTTTTATCAGGTAGAAGTAAAGAATGATGACTACCAAAGTATTAAAGTTCAGTATTTGGAGGAATAGTATATTTTAAGGCATATAAATAATGAGAAATATTATTTTATTGCACTGTATGTCATTAGTAGATTTTTCATTGGCACTATAAAATGTAATCACAGTATTTGTGTGTCTGTGTTACATAATTGTGTAATCCCTGAAAAATTAGTTTACATATGCTTAGGTTAAGCTTTACAAAATTGTTTTGGTAGGCGAAAAATGGGCAAATACTGTCACTTTTTTATATGGTTCAACCTAATACTGTTTAAAAAATACTGCATTGCATTTAAAATAAAGCTGAAATTGCTGAGTCTCTAGATCTAAAAAGTAGTATATTGTTTTTACTTTTTTTTTTGAAACAGAAAAAATGCCTGTGTTAAAGGCTGAAGCATCACATTATAACTCTGACTTAAATAACTTGCTGTTCTGCTGCCAGTGTGTGGATGTGGTGTTTTACCACCCAGATTTAAAGGAAGTCGTAGAGGCCCACAAGATTGTTCTCTGTGCTGTAAGCCATGTTTTCATGCTGCTTTTCAATGTGAAGAGTCCCACAGAGATTCAGGATTCCAGCATCATCCGAACTACCCAGGATCTCTTTGCCATCAACAGAGATACTGCGTTTCCAGGTGCTAGCCAGGAATCTTCGGGCAACCCACCTTTACGAGTCGTTGTTAAAGATGCCCTCTTCTGTTCTTGCTTATCAGACATTCTGCGCTTCATTTATTCAGGTATCTTGTCACATGGTTCTGGTTACTTACACTCTCCTAATCTTTTGAAATGAAGTTGCCTGATATCCTCAAGAGTATGGTTACTTTTACCTTTACCTTCTTCCTACCATCTGAGGTGAAGGTTACACATGAAATAGTATTTGCACTGTACATAGAAATCAGCCCAGCTTTCTGTCTTCCTTACAAATTTACTTGTCTTGGTTTTTTTTTCAAATATTCTTTTTAATTGTGGAAAAATACATATAATATAAAATTTGCTATCTTCACCATTGTAAGAGTATAGTCCAGTTATATTAAATACATTTGTAATGTAAAACCCTCACCATCATCCATCTCTATAACTCTTTATCTTTTTTTTGACAGGGGTGGAGGGGATTTTGAGACAGGGTCTTACTATCTATCCAGGCTGTCCTTGAACTCACTATGTAACACAGGCTGGTGTCGAACTCCAGTCCTACTGCCTCTGCCTCCTAAATGCTGGAATTATAGGCATACATTCCCACATCTGGTAACTGTAATTCTTTATGTTGTAAAACTGAAACTCTGTCCATTAAACAGTAGCTCTACTTTCATTTTCCATCATTCAGTCTAGGAGCTGGAAACCACTATCTAAAGTTAGTTGACATCTGCTCAACTTTGGCTATGACTACATTACACTGTTTTTTCCCCTATTGTGTCTATATCTTTTAAGATTCCACTTATGAATTACTTTTATTGTCTTTTAAGAAACTCAGTAGCAACTGTGTTCTAAAGAATATAAGTTTTATCTGAGTCATTTTTAGCAAATGAGTCAATGGTATTATATCTTAAGAATGGAAAACAGTGAATGTAAAATGATTTTTAAAATAAGCTTCTAACTATAAGTTTTCTGAGGATTCTTCCTAATAGTTTTCTTTTTCTACTTGGAATCATGCATTTTGAATAGTCATTTAAATGGTTGATGTTAAAAATAAGATACTACTTTTTCATTTGGGTTGTGATTGTATAACTTTACAAGTTGAAATATAAATTATGGTTTGGGAAAGTTGCAGCGTGCAGATTTATATCATATAATTTTGCATATACATTGAAGTGTGTATTCTATGCCATCACATTCTGCACACACACTCTCCTACTCCACAGTGATGTAGAACGTGGTGGTATTCACATACTTTCCACTCTAGTAGCATAGAATGGTAAGGGTGGGTCAGTGAATATTCACTTGGAAAAGGAAATAAGCACACACCCAGTGCACTGCCATCAGCTTAACAGGTTCACTGTAATTCTCGTTTGCTTTATGGAGTATGTTCAGATAGCTGGGAATCGTCACATGGATAAGCCAGAGTAGTTAAGGACTTCATTTAGTACTATAGATTTTAATATTTAAACTTAGAACCTCACAGCTCACAATTTAAGACTAATTTTGAAAAACTAAGATGTTTGTATTAAAAGTAGTTTTAATGACATGTTTAAAGAATTGATTGATATGTTTGACTTTTCAATGATTTTAGTATTGAAGTTCTATGAATTATTTAGCAAGTTTTCCACATACACATTTACTCCTTTCAAAAGCACATGAGTCAGTTATATCTTTAGTATGATAGCAGTAAAAAGCAGCTATGTGTATCTCCAGTGACTGATGCTGCCTGACTTTCTCCTAGCAATTTTTTTAATTGCTAACGTAATACATGAAGATAGAAAAATGTATGCAGACAGAAAAAGGGAAAATAAAAGAAAAAATTTTCTTTGTACCCAAGACCCATTCCCGAGTCAGTTACCTATGGAAAGGTTTTGTTTGTTTTTGATATTCTTTCTGATACTATTTGAAAGAGATTGGTCAAATCTGCTTTAATAAAAATGTAGTCCTTGGTAACTGCTCTTTTCTGGGGGCATAGGTAGCTTCCTGTGACTGGAGCAGAGAGTAGGAGGCAGTGGCTGGTAAGAGGTGAGGTGAGGTTGGCAAAGTCTGTGGGGATGATTCTTGCTTTTCTTGGAAGCTGTGCTAGAGTCTTAAACTTTAGAAAGCTCTACTGATGGTAGGAGGTTGAAGTAGAGCAACAAGACAGGAATTCAATTAGGAGGCTCCATCATTCTGGCAATCAACCTTGACACTGAGCTGTCATATTTCTGCTCTGATCTCCTTCTGTGACTCAGCCAAGACAGAGTATGGTGTTGGCCATGAGCAGGTGTACAGGCCCTTCACTTGGGCTGTAGGCAGACCCCAATGCTGCTTAAGAAGGGAAAATGACTGGTTCTGCAGGTATTGATTCTTTAATTATTTACAGATAATACCTCTAAATTCCAGGAAAAATTGTTTAAGTTATGCTTAAAAAGATACTAAAGCTTTTTTTGCACAGTAAAGAAAAATTTGAAAAATGCAGATTGTTAAGAGAACCCAAAAAACACACAGATCTTACTATCAAAAAAATGAACATTATTAATGTTTTGATTTTTTTCTCTAATCCTTGTTTATGAGTAGGTAACTGTTTTTTTTTTTAATTTCCAAATCAAGTGAAAAATTTAAACCTACATTTTTTTGTAGTCATCAATAAAGACTTAAAGTGGGATTTTTGGAACATTTTCAAGCCTCTGAACAGAACACAAGTTTTAAGACACAGTTATGCAATGGTCTTCTTGTAAAAGTACTATAGCCTGCCCACAGAATAGGTCAGGGAACTGTGGCAGACAGGAGCTATTTGTTGGTTTTTATGTCAGTTGGACTGGTCAGGCAGAGGTAGGACTCCACAGCACTGCAGACTTAGGAATATTTGCCCTGGGCACACATGGTCTAAAAAAATCATAATAAATCTATCTCTAGTCCCCTTTTTTTTAAAAAAAAAAAAATGAACCAGATTGCAAAGAATTTCTTAATTCTTTGCAAGTAACATTCTTTTTTTTTTTTTTATTTACCTTCAGGGATTTGAAATTTTTTATATATTGTGACACCATGAACACTTGGTCCTATACTTAGGAGGGGCCTATTTCATAGTCTGATTAACATTTTACACCTATACAAAAGTCTTCAGTTTATTTTTCAACTCAAAATTTTGAGTAAATAGATACAGTCCAGGTACAGCTATTTTAGATGTGTTAACTGTCCATTACATAACAAGGAGCACTGCTTTGTTTGTAAGTTTTTAATGACAGTGGTTACAAGGGAAGGTCTGATGGTAATGTGAGGCCTACAGCTTCCTGGTCTTCAGGGAGTAATCCTTAAATGGAATACAATTGCAACATTCTTTTTTTTATTATTATTATTGTTGTGCTGGGAGTACACTGTGACATTTATAAAAGTTCTTACAATGTATCATAGTTGAATTTACCTCCCCCATCATTCTCCCAATTGTAACATTCTTAAAATACTTGACATAGTCTTATGCTTGCAAATTCCAAAAGTCATATGATTTCCAACAGTCAGAAATTGAAATATTTAAAGGAGCCTCAAGAATGTAGCTTCAAGCTTTTCCTGTCACCAGAAGAACTAAGGGCCATTCCTTAGAATTTCACACCACTTATTGAAATACCACTAGAGTAGATGAATATGTAGAACAAGTTTATATCTTCCATTAGCATAATATTCTCCTGTTCTTTGAATTAATCTGTAGTGTGCTTCTTTATGCACTACATAAAAATGGCATTGCATAAATGAGTGTACAGTGCTGTCTAAGACACTAAATAAGTTAAGTAAGTGCTTTAAGAAGTTATCGTAGGAAAATTACAGTGAATAATTCAAGATGAATAAATTCTAGCGATTCTGCCATATGACATCATGCCTATTGTTAATAATGCAGTGTAATCCTGTACACTGAAAAATGTGTCAAAAGTGAATGTTTTTACTACAAAAAAGTCCCAGCCTAAGGATTGTTGTTTTATTAGGACCTAAAGGTGTCAAAGATGGTTTGCTTAGTATTTCTATTTATAGAAACAGCCCATTCATTAGTGTGTCCTTAAGAATTAGTCTTCCTTTCATTTTTAGTTATTACTTCTTAGTTAGTCTTCCTCAAACAGATCAGTGGCCCTTGGTATTTACTGGATACTAATCCCATGAATTGGAAATATTATGTTCTTTAGTGAATAAAATTTTACTTACATTAGTGTAATGTAACTTTTACTTATACTATTAAAGGCACATTCAGAAATAGGTTCTGTGTTCTCCTTCAGCTTAGGGGAGGATAGACAATAAAAAATATCCACATCTCCTATTCTCTGTGTACCACTAACCCTGGGTTTTGATAATGGATGTAATTCCTAAAGGAGGACCTGTGGTTAGCAGCAGCACTCAGTGTACTTTAGAGGGCCCTCCGAGGCTTTTAAAACATGTTAGTGTCAGAAACCCTAGCTCCAGAATTTCTAGCTTAATTGGAATGAGAACTCTTCTTGTGGTATTTTATAAAAGATCTATTTCCAGATAAATATAATGCAGCACTAGGGTTGGTCACTGACAGAGAATAAATTTTCTTGACTTGGGCTCCATTGAATTCTATGGGGTTCTTATACTCCTAACGTTTTTATGTAAATTTTATTATCTGTGTGTGCACCAGAAATTTTCTGGAGAGATGATCCAAAGAATTTGTCAGATTATGCAAAGATACATGAGCCTAAAGTAAAAAATCATTGATATAAGGTTGGCAGAGTGGCTCAAGTGGTAGAGCGTCTTCCTAGCAAGTACGAGGCCCTTAGTTTAATCACCAGTCTGCCAAGACCAAACAAACAAAATACGTTGGTATAAAGAGAGGAAGGGAGCAGAGAGTTTTTCTGGACTACACATTCTTTGGAATGAAGAGGAAGGGAAGGTAACAGTGAAGTCAGAATTAAAAGCTGTCACAGGTTGAATCAGTGTTGTTTGGGAGCCAGCTGGCACCAGTTTTGGAGAGCCTGATTGTGCTTGTCCTTCCCAACTCCATTTGGCTGTGAAAAGAGTGTTTATACTCCAGAGACAGCCAATGCCGCATATCAGGACTGCCTCCTCCAAGATACGTGGCAGCAATCCTGAAGTTAGGTGAGGAAAAAGTGCAGGAGTGCACAAGAATGCCAAGTGTTGCAGGGCTTGGTTGTAAAATTCCGAGAGCCTGTGGATTCTGAAGCCTCTGGATTAGCAGCTTCACCACTCTGGTTGGGTTTGGTTCTTGTTGAGATCAGACTGCAATTGCCTGATCTCTACTTCAACCTCCTACCATCAGTAGAGCTTTCTAAAGTTTAAGACTCTAGCACAGCTTCCAAGAAAAGCAAGAATCATCCCCACAGACTTTGCCAACCTCACCTCACCTCTTACCAGCCACTGCCTCCTACTCTCTGCTGCAGTCACAGGAAGCTACCTATGCCCCCAGAAAAGAGCAGTTACCAAGGACTACATTTTTATTAAAGCAGATTTGACCAATCTCTTTCAAATAGTATCAGAAAGAATATCAAAAACAAACAAAACCTTTCCATAGGTAACTGACTCGGGAATGGGTCTTGGGTACAAAGAAAATTTTTTCTGTTATTTTCCCTTTTTCTGTCTGCATACATTTTTCTATCTTCATGTGTTACATTAGCAATTAAAAAAATTGCTAGGAGAAAGTCAGGCAGCATCAGTCACTGGAGATACACATAGCTGCTTTTTACTGCTATCATACTAAAGATATAACTGACTCATGTGCTTTTGAAAGGAGTAAATGTGTATGTGGAAAACTTGCTAAATAATTCATAGAACTTCAATACTAAAATCATTGAAAAGTCAAACATATCAATCAATTCTTTAAACATGTCCCCATTCCTCAGTATCCATGGAGACATCTTGAAGAGTGCTGGATATAGGAAAGGCACCATCAGAAGAAGTAGATTGGGAGGAGATAGAAAAGGATCTCAAATTACCTAGAGAGATGCGGTGACTTGCACCAGTAATCAATTACAAACGGAACTAGAACCTGCATCTCCTAACTATGTCCACCCACACTATACATTTTGCATTCTAGTCGGGAGTTATAACTTTCTATAAGACATGGGATGGATGAGGGAATCCCTTGGAATATCATGATAAGAATCATGGTTTTGAAAATTTACCAGCTTGTAATAATAGGAAAGATTCAAAGTAGAAGAGGCCATTAGGGCCTGAATAGGGAGTTGCTATAGGTCACATGAAGAGCACCTGGGGAAAAGGTGAACTTTTGTTGACCATAGAATAGGAATTTCATAAAACACAGAGGAAAGGGGTGGCCATGGAAGCAAAAATAAACAGCTTAGAAAGGGATAACTTTAAAGTGGGCTGGGGTGAAGAGGAGGAGAGAGGGACAAGTTGGAGTGATTTTGCTGTGATGGCATGGCCGTGTAGCTTATGAGGAAACTATCTGCCTTCCTCAGGTTGGTGTTGTAGAGTTTCCTGTTACACATTCCATTTTCACTCTAACAATGCAGGAGACCTTCCTAATGCATTCTGTCGCTGTTGCATATTCCTCTCTCAGGTGGTAGTCATTGCTGTCTGTGATGAGACTGATTTAATTCAGCCTTGGGAAAGACCACATCAACATCTTCCCCAGGGCAAGTAAATAGCCTGGGTCTTGGACCACTTGTCATAGAGACTTATATTCTGGCCAGTATTGTTTTTGATCATCTATTACAGAGAGGTGGTGGCTATGCTGGGAGGAAGACTTCAGGTTTTGAGAAATAATTTAGGGGAAGACTAACATTGATTTGTTGAAAATGTGAGAGCTGTTAAAAAGTATCCTTTAGCCAGGTACAGTGGTTCAAGCCTGTTATCCTAGCTACTCAGAAGATAGAGATAGGGAGGATTGGGGTTCAAGACGCCTAAGCAAAAAGTTCACGAAACGTTATCTCAACCAATGACGGCATGGTGGTGTGCACCTGTCATCCCAGCTATGTGAGGAAGCACAAGCAGGAGGATTCAGTTCAGGCTGCCCTGTGCATAAAGCAAGGCCCTGTCTCAAAAATAACCAACGCAAAAGGGCTGGTGGAGTGGCTCAAGTGCAAAGCTCTGAGTTCAACACGCACACGTGTGCGTGTGTGTGTGTGTGTGTGTGTATTCTTTATAAGGATGTATGTTTAGTAAAGAAAAATTAAAATATTAAAAAGGGAATGTTGATTTATTTTTTATATCTCCTGCTAAAACAAGAAAATCTAACATGTACTAATTTGTTACAGGTGCTTTTCAGTGGGAAGAATTGGAAGAAGATATCAGGAAAAAGTTGAAAGATTCAGGGGATGTTTCTAATGTAATTGAGAAAGTTAAATGCATTTTAAAAACACCAGGAAAGGTAAATTAATTTGATTGACTCCCAGAATTATAATTAATATACTGTGAAGAATATAATATTGAATCATCAGAAAAGCTAAATAATACATAAATATAAATGCTTTCCTTAAGTATATTTTTGCATTCAAATATTTTAAACAGAAACATATGCTATTTCTCACTTAGATTTTAATTTATGCAAGAATTAAAATATGTGTGAGTCATGCCTTGAAAGTGTTCATTTGTGAATTTTGTCTTCTGAAACACTCCACTGGAACTCTGGGAATACATGACCCATGTCAGGAATGAAAGGCTGTTTGATTTGTCAAGCTACAGTTAAGCTTCTTGGAGGGATTGCTTTCTCATGCCTCACGATTTCGGATCAAATAGTTTTCAGGAGCAGGGCAGTTCCTGTGAGTGCTTTTTTAAGAGTTCTGAGTAATCTGTTTAACCAGGTGGACATTTGAAGATTCTCTCAAGGATAGGTTCAAAATTATAAATATATAAAAGGTTATAAAAATAGGGACTTTGTATATGGCCATGGACATGTGCACATAAAAACTTAAAGTGTACTGACTCTAAAAAGGCTTTAAAAGTACATTTTTAAAAAAATTTTACGACAACTACATTACACAATTCAGCCAGTGTTCTCTTATTTCAAATTCTGTGATAAACAGATTGGCTACCATATATAAAAGAGTAAGTTATGTGCAGTGCCTGCCAGAATGTAGGTTTACATTGACTATAAGAAAAAAGACTATTCCTTTAATTTTCACACAGATCATTTCATCACTTCTATAGCCTAAGTTACAAACGTGAAAATTAACAGTTAGGAAATGTAAACTGTACTAACTTTTAATGAACATTTCTGGATTATTCTTAGTTGAGAAAAAAATTAACAAATGTGGAATTAAGGTGCATGGTCTTTTTTTGTTTTAATAATACTTTAAAGCAGATAAATGGGAGCTGTCCAGATTTACAAGTGTCTGGCAGGATGGTAGCTCTCTTACAATGTAATTCAACTATTAATTTTTTTGTAAAAATGTGAACATATGTCGACATTCTTTTTTCAAAATAGCTAATCTAGTTAACTCATTTGGACCAGTGAAAGTACCCATCATGTATATCTCTTCTTACTAAACTTCTATCCTCCCGTTTTTGTTTTCCAATTCAAAGCAAAAGTGACAAGGGAATCTGTTTCCATAGATTGATATTCTCTCTCTCTGTCTCTCTCTCTCTCTCTCTCTCTGCCTCTCAATATATAAAGATGTAGAAATACACATTCATACACAGTATATATATTTATATAGATGCACGTACACATTCATACATAGTATGTAACTACATAGTCACCCTGTGCAAATTCACCACCTGTGTATTAGTGGTGAGGGTAGAAGTATTGGTTTTGTTCTGAACTTGTGACTTTTCCTTAGGTCTGATTCTGCACACATTTCTTTGAGTACTGAGAGTAACATGAATTCTGATTGCGGAAGGGAAGTCTGGGGCCTGTGATTCTGTGATACTAAAGTAAATTCCCTCCTTTGCACAGGAGGGAAAAATTCTTCCACCCCTCATTATGTGCTTTCATGAGCTAAGGGTTGCTCGCATTCACTGAGTACATCATAGAAATGTAACACTGAATTGAGATTCAGGAAGTGTGGCTTTAAACTACCACAAAGTACTTCTGTGGCTCTGAGCAAGTCAGGGCTTTTTTTAGAATAAGGCATAAACCACATAATTTCTAAAGCCCGTGCTAACTGTTCAATTCTGTGATGCTTTTGGCTGTTACTGCTCTTTATGTGTGGCAGTCACTTGCATCCTAGTCCCAATTCTTCAGTGGGTGTTGCCATATATTGTGTACAGGATCTGGGATTGTATTTCATGAAACCATTTGTATGAAAACATTTTGCTTGTCTTGCTCACGGGTACCACCCTGGACTGGAGTTTCTTCTTCCCTATGAGGAAAGATGGTACGACTTTTCCCCTCACCAAAGATTTAAAACTTCTCTCCACAGTAGATTAGTCCAGAGTAGGGAGTGCCATTTATTCCTGTTGTTGCCAAAGTTGTATGTGTGATTTCTTAGGGATAAAACTCTGATTTCCTTAACTGACCAAGCAGAAAGAGTTCTGACTAGGGCTGAGGTTCTGAGATTCAGCCAGGGAGTGGAGCCATCACGAACGAATAAAATAATAACACTTCAATAAAAAATCATAACTGAATCATTCCAATTAAGGGGTCACATATTGGGTTTGTGGCCTGGATGAATCCTACTATTTAAAATGACTTTATTTCTTTATCTTTTGGGCAGCTGTACCTGAAAATGCTGTTCAGGCTTATTGTTTATCCACTGAAAATAAATTAAATTTTTTTGTTTTTTAGAAAAAGAAAAGAATGGAAGGTGAGGAAAGGAAGGCAGGCCTTTGACTTATGGGGTTAGAACAAAGGGATGTCTGAAAAGACCACAAAACAGGGTTAAACAAAGCCCCAAAGCCTGAATGGGACAGAGGCACTGTTTTGTTTTGTTTTTGTTTTTGTCTTTAATTTTTGGTTTTGTGAGACACAGTCTCACAGTCTCATGCTGGCTTTGAACTTGAAAGCCTCCTGACTCCACCTCTTCAGTGCTGGACTATAGGCGCGTGCCATCATGCCTGGCTATCTGAGTACCCTCTTAAAGAACAAACTCGATTGTTCAAATATATTTTACCAGGCATTCATATAAGTTTGGACTACTGCTCTCGGTTTCCTCTCAGTGACTCACAGGAACTCTCAGCTGTAGACTTGAGTTTTTACCCAGTCTCCTCCTGTACTGTGAATGCTGAGGAGTATGGGGTTACTCGGGTAGCAGGTGTAGTGTTGAGGGTTAGTTCCCTTGAGAGCTGTGGTCAGAGATGCCATGCAGTAGGTAATCATTATTCCTGCAGTTTGCACAGTTTTCCAAATTCTGAGCCGGGCCCATTTGTGTTATCAAAGTATATTGAGCAGCCTTTCTTTCCCTTGTGTTTATGTTTTTTCCTTACAGATTAACTGCCTAAGGAATTGCAAAACCTACCAATCCAGGAAGCCTCTGTGGTTTTATAACACTTCCCTCAGATTTTTCCTTAATAAACCTATGCTTGCTGATGTTGTCTTCGAAATACAAGGTATGGCTCAGCTTTTGCAAAGTTGGCTGTGCATTTTTATTTCTTGTTTGCTTTCCTCACCGTGTATTTCAGCATCACATACTTGGGGTGCAGGGATGTCTCTCAGGACGTAGATAAATATCAGCTGAATTTCAACAAAATGTCCCAGGAAGATGAAGTATTTTATAAAAATAAGAAAAGTAATTTATATTTTCTTCAGTATTTCCCCCTTATTGTGTACTCCACTAGGTTTTAGGGGTCAGCAGGGGATGGGATAATCTGTAATGTATCATATGTTTTTGAGCACTTGTTATTCATCTGAAACCAACTTCAAATTGTATTATCTCTTGCTTATTTTATTTGGTTTTCTTTTTATTGGTTGGTGAACATCAAGCACCTGCAGATACTGCTGCGTTTATCCCTCATAGCATTCTGAAAATTGTCATCACCAGAGCAACCAAAACCACTTCTTATCTCTGAGGGAAAATAATGCCACCTAATTTTAATAAAGATGAGCAGCATTAATGCCCATTACTAATTACGTGCACAGATAATTTTGTCACTGCAATAGTCTTAAAGATGATTTGTCAGATACCTTCAATTATGTAAGAATGATAGAAGAAATTGCTTCTAAATAAATTAAGTAGAATCACAGATGGGCTGTTGTGAAGAGGAAGATATAATGCTAATTTTATAGTAGAAATGTGTGACAGCTAACATAGTCATTTACTTTAAAAAAAAAAAAACAAAACCTTTCCCCAGAAAGGTTTATTTTGCTTTAGTCACTTGTCAAGATAAACAATGTATTGGAAACTTTCCAGAGTTAAGTTCCAAAGCTTTAGGGGAGAAACATGGTGGTACGTGTCTGTGATTGTAGCTACTCAGGAAGCAGAAATTTGGAGGATCATACTTCAAGGTAAGTTGCCAGCAAAAAACTCAAGAACCCTACCTGAAAAATAACCAAAGCAAAAAGGGCTGGGGCATGGCTCAAGTGGTAGAGCACTTGCCTAGTGAGCATGAGGCCCTGGGTTCAAACTCCAGTACTAAAAAAAAAAAAAGCCACTTTCAACAGCACCATTGCAGTGTGAGCCTGGCACACTGAAAATAGGACAGTAAAAGTGACCTTGAGACACAAAAAATGGGAGGAAAAACCCAACAAGCAGGCATTGACTTTGTGTAACCCTTTCATCATTTTAGAGAAACCTAAAACTGACTTTGTCTAAGCCCCTAATGTTATCACACCTTAATTCATTCATTAGTTGCCAAAATAAAATTCCAAAGTATATACCTACACCTCACTTTCATAAATAATTCATTTTAGGTAAATAAAGCCTTGTCAGAGATAAAGCCCCTGGTGGTTACAGAATTCCCTTAATACCTTCTAGAAGAAAAATCTTTGTCAATAAAGGTATTTACAGAAAATGCTTAGTATGTTCTATCCACATAGAGGAACCACGGGGATAGATAATTTTGTACAAATCATCTAAGAAGCTTCAGATTCCAGCAGAAAAGACTGTATCCATTGTTGAGAAGAAATGTAATTTGTAAATTAAAAAGTATTTCTTTCAAAATTAATTTTAAAAAGTCTTTGGAAGGATTGAATAGCAGTTTCTGTGTTCTGAAAGATGATGACTGATGCTACTGGAGGTGACTGGTGCTTTTTTCAAGATGACTTCTGTGAGGTGCTGAGGTTGGCGCTCAACACATCCATCCGTATAAGAGGAGGATAAGGTAGAAGCCGCTCATTCCAGGGACCATATGACAACGTAGGGCATGCTTTTCATTGGAGGAAAGGAGTGGTAGTCTGAAAGTTACATGGTGAACACACAAGAGTACTTTCTAGTGCTGTTTCTTCCAAGCCATGGTCAGTTCTGATGAATGTCTTCCATCCTATGCTAGATTAGAGTGTGGATATCAGTCAGATCCAGCATCTCTGACTTCCCTGGATGATGTGCTGTCACCTGTCCTATGGTCAGGACTGATCTGTCTCTTGCTACTCACACTATTTAATACAATTCAGGTAGAATGTAGTTAATTAGGTATTCACTTCTTAAGTCATGGTGAAGTTCTAGTCCTTTGGCTTTTTTTTTTTTTCTTTTTAACCTAGGTCTCCTTGATGGAATTTTTGGATATTTCCAAACCTTTTGGTCATGCTTTTAAAGAAAACTCTTTGATTACTCTGCAAACGAGTAATCTCATCCATTGTGTGTGTGTTTTTAGAAGTTTAAGAGGGAAGCCATCCTTCTAGTTTCAGAAGAAACTTAGAGTTACCACCAAAGAAGCATCTGTGGCATAAATCACTGTGCCCCATCCAGACCCCAGAACAGTGACTTACTTGCCTTTAATAAGTAGCTATTGGTAATGACATTAGTGATCCTGAAGTTGGGAATCAACATCTGAAGCATAAATACTCTTCAAGAAGACTTTGCTCGGGAATGCACTCATAAGAGGAGAGAGAGTGATCTCTCTGCCAGGAATGTTAATTATGTTTGAAAGCAACCACTGATGTAAATTAAATATGAACTTATGGCCCTATCATAGATAAATGAGTCAATGATTGTCTCCCATCCCTACCTTTTCTCTCTTGCTGTGTGTCTAGCCGCCACATTTACATAGCAGACATTAATGTGTGCTTATTAGTGTAGGAGGCTTGGCACCGAGCATTGTGTCAATGTAACCTATTGAAAAGATTTTCAAAGGGAATATGCAGCACATGCAAATAACATGTTGTATTAAGAAAAAAATAGAGCCCTGTCTCCTCAGAGCCTCTTGCTTTTCTTCCATTATTTCACCTTCTGATCCTTTTTGCAGGAACCTGCTCCCCTACCTGCCCTCCCCCAACCTATGCAGGGGCCGAGGCAGGAAGAATTAGTGGGTTGTAGTCTCTGTAGATCAAAACCTGATTTCTGTCAGGGAGTCAGGAGCAGAGAGGAACAGGACTGGATGGGAGCAGAATCCAGAAGCAGCTTCTGTGCTGTCAACTGCATGGGAGGCAAGTAGCCAAAAGGCTGTATAAAGGCAGTGGTTGGAGGATGGCTAAGACTGGAATTTGGAGCCCCAGATCTTGCTTTGGTTTTGCATCCCAACCAGTATGTGTCTTTGGACAAGTCATTGTTGGGTCCTCGCATCTTTGCATTTATGAAGTAAGAAGGGTGAACCACACAGATTCTGAAACGTCCTTTTGAGTGTTGAGTGGTATAACTCACTAACAGTCATCCTTCTTTGGTTCTCCTGCACCTGTGGGGTTATAGTTAGAATACTAAGCAGAGGTTTTGAGTTTGAAGAAGCTGGGTGAATTCTTACTCCTTTCAGAAGATAAAAATATATATCCATCCCACTGAATGAATCATGTTTGAATTCACCTCGGGGTGGTCACGCTGGACCAGTCAGGCTTAACTTACTAGGGACAGTTCTTTTATGTACTTCTGGAATTCTTCCAAAATGTATAGGGAAAAGCAAAACCAAAACAAAACGAAAATTAGAGGCATTCTAAATAAGGAAAGAAGCTAGGACTTAGAGCATCACTGACCTAACTCATGTCCTTGAGTGACAAACTGTTGAATATTCATGAAGAAACTTTATTATTTTCTGATTATGACAGTCATCTAATTGTTACAGACCAGTGTTCGCAGAATAATCTCATTTATACAAAATTTGTGTTCTGTTCATTTATAAAAAGTGTCTGGAGGAGTGTAGACCATATTGTGAACAATGGTTATCTTTAGAATGAGATAGGAATGGTGGCATTTAGAAAAATGTTCTTTAAGTGCTCATTGTAGGAGAGTCAGACATAAAGGAGAAGAGAAAAATCACTTATTAGCCTACTTCCCAGTCACAACTAATGTTTGACCTTGGTATGTATATGCCATTTTTCTCTGCTTAAAAGTAGGGGCCAGGCAATAAATACTATTTATACAATTGTATATCCTTAATTTATTTTTTATTATTTTTTTTCAGTGTTTTTAGGCAAAATTATTTAATGTCAATAAATTATTTAATAATTTTACATGTTTTGGTTGGTTTTACTGCACATCAACGTCACCTTTAAAGTTGATTTTTCTTCCAGGATAGCCCTCTTTAAAAGATGCTTAATCCAGTTGTCCACAAAATTTGGGCTTCGTCTTTAATGTGGCCACTTGAATTGCAGATTGGAATTATTGATGGCAACTTCAAAATTCCCCATCTGAGGACCTGTGAGATTTAATTTCCTGAAGCAATTTATTGTTCAGTCCTAGGAGATTAATTATAGAAAGCACTTTATAAATACCAAGTTTTTCTAGGAAACATTTTTCTCATTGCATCTTTTCATCCATGAGCTTAAGCAAAGTGTTACAGATCTCATTGTCACCACTCCAATGCATTTACTGTGATGGAAGCATGACCTGTGTCTCAATTTAGCCACATTGACCAATCTAGGACACCAATCAGCAGTGCCCCCTCTCATCTGGAATGAGGCAAATTAATTTATTTTTTAATGGTACTGGGAATTGAACTTAAGTCCCTATGGGCAAATGCTACTACTTGTGCCACACCCCCAGTCCTTTTGCTTTATCAGTTCATTTTTCAGATTAGGTCTTGAGCATTTTCCCGGCCAGCCTCAAACTGTGATCCTCCTACCTCTGCCTCCCCAGAAGCTGGGATTACAGGTGTGCAACACCATGCCTAGCTAATTGTGTATCCTTTATTTTAAATTTATGCCATAAGCATTTCACATGGTCTTAAAAACTTCTTAACATTTTAAATGTCATTGTGTGGTCATAGCCTTTTTAAAATTTTTGTTATAGGTATAAAATTTAGGTATTTCCTACATTTTCACCATTAGAAATGACAGCCACATTGGGAGATTTACTGTAAATATCTGACTGAAATTAGGATTAATTCCTTGTGTTACTTAATCAAGAGATATAAATATCTGTAAGATCTAGTCTTTGCTATGAAATTGTATATATCCAGAAAGATTATAGCAATTTACATTCCCATTAACAGTTTATGAGGGTTTAGCATATCTAAACCATTAAGAATGCTTATATCTTGTTTTTCTTACAAATTTGATATGAGTTTTTTAAATATATGTATATATGTGTATATATGTATATATTTATTTATATATATATACACATACGTATATATATATATAGAGAGAGAGAGAGAGAGAGAGAGAGCGCAAGTCTGGAAGCAAACTGCATTGTGTTCCAGCAGTTGCCTGGTATTTTGGTGGTGTTACTCACAGCCTTAGTTGTCTAGTGTTGGTGGAACAGAGGTTGTACCTTTTTAACTCCAAAGTGGGCACACAGTATGTGCTTAAAGCTTCTGGTTGGTGCAGTCAGAACAATTAGATTTCAGAATGGTTTAGTCATAGCTGTTACCCTATTTAAAAAGTCAAAGAGCTTCCAAATGAATCCTGTTTTCTTGTCATTCTCTGAAAATTTATACCAGGCATTAAAGATTTGCCTTTTAGGTCTTATTAATGCAGTGTGTCTCATACTGGGCCTTTGTTTTTTAGTTATAGTTGAATTAATAACAGGCAGCCAAATATTAATATAACTAGAAAAAGCTAATATCCTTTTTTTCTTTTTTGGTGTAAATGGAAACAGCTTTTTTAAGTGTGAATGTATCTCTGACTGTGATCAACTTATCGGTTTAAATATTTGACACAAAAAATGGAGAGAGCATTCTTATATTTTAAATTGATTTATCTTGAACTTTAAGACAGACTCTCAGTGATAGTTGGATAATAACCTATCTCAAATCTTCATTATAAATCTTCATATAGAAAAGTCTTAGATAAACTTGCAATTTTTTCTCTAACACTTTACCTAAAATATTTATAATATAAAATACATACTCTGCAAGACTCATATTTATGAACTAATTCATATTTGGATATAACTTTAGTTACATCCCTAATATAATCCTTAATATAAATTTATATAAAGTAACAGGAAAGATAATTTTTAAATTAAAATTAATAGCTAAATTAAATTTAATGTTTTCCCTTCACTCAATAATAAAAAATTTTGAATAAGTCTTTGGATTCATCACTCCAGTTTTGAGCATGAATATCACCCAACCTCCTGCCAGGCTTTAAGGAACCTGAAACGAGAATGGAATCTGTAAAATGACTTCCACCACCTGATGAACTGCTGCCCTTCATCAGGCAGTACTGACAGGCCAGAAAGACCTGCTGGGATCTTTACTTGGATGCATACTAACTACATAGATTGGTTGCATTACTTTACATTTCTGACCCTTCAAGATCAAAAATACCAAGTAGATAGGGGTGCAGTGAAGTCTGGTAAGTGACCTTGAAATTTTAACAGAAATTTCCGTTTATATTATGGAACAGCTTTGTTTCCTATAAAATGGAGATTCTGCTGTCTACCTTGTGGATGATTACAAGACTAAGCTAGTGCATGTGGAGACCAACAGAGCCTTTGCAGTGACAGCCAACACTGGTGGGTCTCAGCACTTCTCCCCTTTGAACCCAGGTGCTGTTTCAGGCCATCACCCACAACTGGGTACAGTTGACATGAGATGTGAAATCCTGACATGGGATTCTGTCCCTGTAATATATTTTCACCACCGCCCATAATTCATTATTAGGGCTCACTTAAAGGAAGTTACTATAGCAGTTCCAAAGTGAGTCTTGATAAATATTTTGACCTGACTTAGAAAGACATTTGAATTTGTGTCTCATGAAAAGATCTTTTACAAAATTATATTCCTTCCTGTAAACTTATATAGTACACATTCTAAGTCTCTCTTGAACTTGGCAGCTATCCTTTTTTTTAAGAATGCACCCAAACACAGTTCTAAAATTTGACTTTTGACACCTAGAAAGTAATATGTAAAAGATGTGCCAAATGTTGTATTTTATTTGAATATGTGATAAAAAACAAACATATATAGTTTATATAAAATGACTAAAACACTTGAGCCTAATTTTATTTCACTCTTATTGTTCCTTTCCTTTAAAAAGTTTCTTAAACTAACATCATGTGAACACTGCAAAAATAAAAGATAGTTTGGCCTTGACATTTTCAAATAACATGTTTATCTTTCAACTAGAAAATTTGTATATTTTTCCCCTAAATAATCCTTCACCCATAGCTTATTGCCAGCTAGTCATACGCTCTGCATTATGTTCTTTCAGCATGATTTTTGTATATAATATTAAAAAATGTAACCACAGTTAGATATTGTATTACATTTTCATGGCACAATGATTTATAACACTAAAACAGTCATTTAAAAAGCTGAGAAATAGAGATGATGTTTTCTTTACGGGCAGTTATAATGGTTTTCCAAACTAAATTCCAAGTTTGAAGTGGGCTTAAGAATGCTTGAAGGTTCTGAGTGTTTTGTTGCTGGTTTTGCAACTTTGTTGTAACATTAGGAAAAGAATTTTCTGTTAAAATTTCAAAGCTTATTTATGAAATTCCATCCCCACATACTATCTGCTTGGTATTTTTAGTGACTCTTAAATCCCTCTGTTTAACTCAAATGATTGATCATCCAGTTTCTTTAAGTTATGTTTCTAATTTTCCTTTTTGTTTAAATGGTGCCCTATTTATTTTGAAAACTTTTAAACCTTAAAATTACAAGTCAAATTGCATTACCTATTTGAATTCCTTGTTAACTGCTGTCTACAAACATCCCCAGCATGCTTTAATTATGGAAATTGGTCCTCTTGGTAGATGACATTGTCACATTGAGGATGCGAAAGTTGTGACAGAGAAGGGAGGATGCCTGCTGGTAGGTAGTGGTTACTGGGCAGGGATGGGGACACTCCTTGAAGCTACTTTCTTGCTCCTGGGAGAGGTGTGGTTGTACAAATCACAGTGCTAGCCAGTGGACTTAGCTGGCAATATTAGGGGTTGTGGATTCTGACAGATTATTGGCTTTGGAGAAAGCCACTGGGCTTAGCTGGAACTCTTCTTTTTCCCTAAGTGAAGAGGTGTTTTGCTTAGATTTAAAAGAGGCAAAGAACCCAACAATTGTAAATATTTTAGAGAATATTATATATCCCTGATAAGGATGCAGTTTTAGGGATATGTAGGTCAGTTCTTGGGCAGTGCAGAGTGTTTTGGCTCATAGCATTACTTCCTGAGAAGGAGCAACTTTGTCAGCACCACTAGCCATGAGGTCTTCCACTTAACTACAAGTCCTGCTCCAAAGCAAGGGTCACTTTGACTTCCTAATCTTCGTATCTTCAATTCCAAACACAGTAATCCACACATGGTGGGAGCTTGAACTGATGCAGGCTGAATGCTTACAGTGTCGACTTGTGTTTTCCTTCTGTGGTGGTGAGAACTGCTTCACCACCCCACAAATCCCAGGGGCTATCTGTGCACGACTCCCCACCCTCTGGTGCTGACTTTGTGCAGTGGAGCAATAGCTGGAAAGCCTAGCACACTTGCCCTAGACAGTTTCATGTAATAAGCTTCAGTATGGCGTATGGGTTGAGATGGCCTTTAAAATTCAGACTTCTGGCCATCCCAGAAGACCATGTTCATGTGAAATAGATGGTTCCCGGGAGTAGACTGCTAGGGAGACAGCTGGGAGCAAGGTCATCCCCTTCCAAACTTTTGTAAGTTCTAAAATGTTCTCCTTGACTCTGTAAGTCACCTCCTGCTGAAGGTGTGGACTGTTTGTGGCTTACTTGTTACAGTTTCCTGTTTCTGATATGGGGAAGCCTGGCCAACACTACATTGTGAGTTTGGCCAAGAAAGATAATGGGGTTGTTTTCTTGGGAGGACCATGGGCAGAGTGGGGTGGTGTTATTCAAGCCAGTCATAAAGAGTAGATATTTTATCGTATAATCATGGAGTAAAATATGTCATTTTCAGTGTTTCTGTCTTTGGGAACTATAAACCAAATAACAATGGTTCCCTGATTTGCAAATTGTTAATTTCAGAGTCAGTTTTTGAGCTTTTGTTGTTCAATTTGAAACTAAGAACTCTCTAGAGTAATGTTGATTATCACCCTAAAATGTGGTTTTACCATATCATCTCAGCTATCTTACTACAATACCACTCTAATTAGAAAGAAAATGACTGGTATAGTGACTGCAAGTTTATCTTACTTTTTTTCCTTTTGCACTTTTCAGGTACAACAGTGCCAGCCCACAGAGCCATTCTGGTGGCCCGTTGTGAAGTGATGGCAGCCATGTTTAATGGTAATTACATGGAGGCAAAGAGTGTTCTGATTCCAGTTTATGGTGTTTCCAAAGAGACTTTCTTGTCATTTTTAGAATACCTGTACACAGACTCTTGTTGCCCAGGTGAGCAGTATAGATGCTAAGGAATGTCTCACAATTCTTTTCCTTGTCACTCATGTGAAATTGCTTTTTGTGAAATCTGTTCTCATTTAAGGTCTGCATGTTGACATCATGGTATGTGCTAAGCAGTTGGAAATGGTGTTGGGACAACAATGGATTTTCACTTAGTTTAGGAAGAAGAACAATGTTTGAGAGCCTTTTTATGAACTGTCAGACTCTGACATATAAATTCATATGTCTCAGCCAGCACTGGCAGCCTCGTGATCACATAGGCACTCAGGAAATAGAAGTTTGGGGATAACCAGTGGCTGTTCTAATTCTATAGTTTGGAGCAGAGGGCTCCTTGGAGTACTGTCTCTTCCAGAAGAAGAGGATTAGAAAACTTATTATGGTTCTGACATCTGATTGAAGCATTTTAAAGGAATTTGATATTCTGAGACCCTAAGGTCTTCATGGCCCAGAGGATGTAGGATTTTAAAGGCTCTTTCTGACTTCTAAAGTCAGACTGCCCTAAAACATTTCCTAAGATGTTTTTGGACACCCTGTGGAATATAGGATTTATTTCCAAATTCACTGACCAAAGACTGTTTGATCAGGAACCAACAATCTATGACAGCTACAGGCTGGAACAAATCTTGCAGGTTTCCTATCGCTGGAGGCACCTTGGAGAAAATAGCAAACTCCTTTTAACAGATGCAGGCTCAGGAGCCCCTTTGATTATTCTTCACTCTTTGGCCACCAGATGGCTCCCGCCACAAACACAGCTAGAATAAACCCTGTGTGGCTTAGTCCCGGAAGTTAAGACCTTGATTACAAAACCCAGCCAGGCATCTTAGCAGATACCAAAAGAAAAAACATTTCAGGCCATATCTTTCTAGGTTCACTGCTTTCACTTTTAGACTAGGAAGATTTTGTGCATTTATTGAAATAAATTTTAAACAAGTCATAAGAAAATTCCTTTTCTCATTGAATTAATCTGGTCTCTCTGCTACGAATATTAGTATTCTGGAGCCAGTTACTATCAGTGTTAAAGTTATGTTTACCGTTTTTTTTTGTGGGTGTGTGGTACTGAGATTTTGATTTCTGGCCTTGGACTTGCTAGGCAGGCACTCTTCTGCCTGAGCCATGTCCCCAGCCCTTTTTGCTTTAGTTATTTTTGAAGCAGGCCTGGACCATGATCCTCCTATTTATGCTTCTTGCATAGCTGGGGTGACAGGTGGATGCCACCACACCCAGTTTTATTGATTGAGATGTGATCTCTCGATGTTTTGCCTGATCTGGCCTTGAATAGAGATCTTCCTGATCTCCACCTCCCAAAATAGCTAGGATTACCAGCAATTAGCCACCGTGCCAGGCTTGGCTTATCATTTTTGCTTAATAAAAATGAAAGCAATTGGTTTTTGTTGGAAATAAACATTTTGTTTTGATAGTGGAAATTTTGTATATAAATTAAAAATTTGACCAGATTTGAAGTAATAAGAAAATCTGGTTTCTCAGAAACCATCTCTGAGTAATTGAAGCTGCTAATTTTAGGTTTTATCTTGCTAATCAGGAAAAAATGCTCAGGAAAACAATAACTTTAGGGGAAAATACCTTAAAAACTAGTAAGAGGCATGTGGGGAAAGTAAATCCAAATGCACAGAGTTGAGCCAAATGCTAGAAAAATCTGCACTGAGAAAATTGCATAATGATTCTGTGTTAAATACTTGTGGGTTCTTGGTCCCATAGCTACGAAAGAATGTAAGAAATTTCAGGAGTAGAAGAAAGAATTACATGAAAAATCAGACTTTTAGAGAAGGGTTTTTAAAAACTAACTGGGTAGTTGCCAGGAGGCTGGAGAGGGGGGCAAGGGTGAGTTACTGTTTCATGGATCCAGAGTTTCAGTTTGAGAAGATGGGTCAAGTTCTGGGTGGGTGATGGCAATGGGTGCACAGCATTGAGACTGCTTCATGCCACTGACCTGTATTCCAAAAATGGTTAAAATGGTAAGCTTTATGTTATGCTTATTCTACCATAAAAATGAAACAAGCCTGGGGACTAAAGCCAAGAAAGCAGAATTTCAAGGATTTAGTTTAGCTAACAGAAAGGTCTACTTGATAGCTCTGGATTGGTTATTATGGGCAGTTACAGAATCATTTTCTCTGGAGAATTAAAACTAAGATTCTCTTCTGAGTATGAAGACAAATGGATTTTTTAGAAGATGAAGTAATAGTTTAGACTGATGACCACTCAAGCTTTTCCTAGGAATTCTAGTCTACACTGTATGATACCACTGGTGTTTCTTTGTTGTATGTGTGGTTTCTGTTTCAGGTCATAAAAGCAATGGTGTTATCATCCACTGTCTCTTTCCCATCTCTCATCAGCTGGCATTTTCCAGGCCATGTGTCTCCTGATCTGTGCTGAGATGTACCAGGTCTCCAGGCTGCAGCACATCTGTGAGCTGTTCATCATCACACAGCTGCAGAGCCTGCCAAGCAGGGAACTGGCTGCCATGAACCTCGACATAGTTGACCTGCTCAAAAAGGCCAAGGTAATTGGCTCTGTGTGTCTTGTTCTTCTGATGTTTAAAAAAAAAAAAAAATTACTCTTTAAATTTTGTTTTTAAAACATCTGGGTCTTTCTTTTCTTGCTTTTTTTGCTGTCTCCTTAACTTATTTTAGACTTCATTTTGTCATAATCAAGTCTTAAGATCATATGTATTTAATATTAGGGATAAATACAAATTTTAAAAAATCCAAATACCCTCATCTTTCTTTGTAATATATTTACATTGAGCATGAGATAAGTAAGTTGCGCCCCTCCAAATTTAGTTTAAATTTTCTTTTTTTATTCTTTCTGGCATTTCACAACTTCTTTTTTGATTAGTCACTTTCATAGTATTATAACAAGTCTGTTATACTTTTAAAAAATGGACACAAGTTTCTTTCCCCTTGTCTTTAAATAACTTATGTGTAAGAGAGCTTCCTGTGTGGCCGCACTGATTTCTTTCCATGTGTCACCCTAACCCCTGCCTGCCTAGTTTATCAGGAAATTTTTCCTGACCTAGTTTCTGATTATTTGATTATCCTTATTTTTCCCTTGAATTGAAAAAGTCTGATATACCAGCTCTTTTTGAATTTTATTGTTTGTTTCTGAAGACTTTTTTATTTGCTTTAAGCCTAAATTTACCAGTTTCCTTTGGTGGTCCCTAATTTAGCAATTATGAATCCTAGATAACAGGAACATTTTTTTCTCAATGCTGAGGCTTGGCTCTTGAGTATCCCCCAAAGGCCCATACACAAGAAGCTTGGTCCCTTGGTACTATTGGGAAACAGTAAAAACTTTTAAGGTAAGTCCTAGTGGGGGTCTTTAGGTTATTGGAGGCTTGATGAAGGGGATTGTGGGAATCCTGTTCCTTTCTTCTTGTCTTTTCCTTCTCAGCTGAAAGTAAGTGGTTTTCCTCTGCCACGTACTTTTGCCATAGTGTGCTGTCACAGGCCCAAAGCAATGGGGCCAACTGATTATGGATTAAAATATCTAAAACTGAGCCACAATGAAGCTTTTCTGTTCATAATATGGTTATCTCAGGTGTTTATTATGGTAACAGAAAGCTGGCTAACAGAAAGCTCCCCTAGAAGTTCCTAGTTGAAGGTTCCACTTCCCTGGGCAGTTCATCCTATTGATCAGAATTAGGGTAGCTTTCCCTCAACATTCCTCTGGCTTTGGTCTTTTAGCAGAACAGGAGTCCCCAGTAGCTCTCTGAATAATCAGTTTCCAGTCACTGTGTTGTCATGTCTGCATCACTCATGCCTTCTTCTAGAGGTGAGCATTTTTACTGTTCGCTCCCTTCTACTTCAGCTCTCCTCTTTCCTCACTCCCCTGCCACAATTCCGCCTTCACTGCCCGTATTTCTGTTAAGGTGTCCCATTGCATGTTCCATCCATCTAACATACAGGACATGCTTGTTTCATCCAGTCAGATTCCTTGTCTCTACTTCCACTTAAGCTGTATTTATCCATACTTCAATGAGTCCTCTGAAGTTGTATTTGCTCTCATATTAAAATTTAAATCCATCTTCATTCTTATAATGTATATGCTATTATTTGACTACCTGTGTCTATAAGGCAGCCTTTTCCTGTGAGGTTTTGGTTACTTTCTCCATATTCTTTAGGTAGCTCTAAAGTCCTATAGCATTTCGTTTTTGTTTTTTTTTTTTAAATGACTTTCTCTTTTATTCTTTTGTCATTTCAGTTTAAAACTATTATTTTAGGATAACACACTTTTCCAACAAACATAGTTTTTAAGAGAAAGAAGAGATGCATTACATCTGCTGTCTAGAATGCACAATGATGGTGTCTTAAATCTTTTCAAAAATAAGATTCTGCATTTGAAGCATGTTTTTGCAGTCAGCTTCCATGTCCGTGATCTCTCTTCTGTTTCAAAGTCCCAGCCCTTAGGCACTATCCTGGTCTTCTGGTGATAGGTTTTCTGCTCTGGGTCAGTCCTCTAATGGTAGCAGTGGCTTCTGTTAAAATCATCACAGGTCCATGCTGTGAATTCCCATGAACTCACTCACATTCATCTGCTCAAAGATAAGAGGAGAAAAAAAATGTTAAAATGTGATATAGGATAAACTTATTCAGTACTTTCTAATTCACAAATTCTGGGTAATGAAATAAGAGGAACCTGTAAATTTGTATGTTAAAATATCTCATATAGTAGAGTGTTTAATATTCTCATATAGTAGAGTGTTTAATATTCTCATATAGTAGAGTGTTTTTGTTTTTCTTCTTTTTTTTTTTTTAGTGTTACTGGAATATGAATCCAGGACCTCATGCTTGCTAGACAAGTGTTCTGTCACTTGAGCCATGCCTCCAGCCCTTTTTGTTTTAGGCTATTTTTTAGATAGGGTCATGTGCTTTTTACCCAGGGCCAACTTCAGACCTTGGCAGTCCTTCTACCTATGCCTCCGACCTAGCTGGATTACAGATGTGCATCAGCACACCTGGCTTTTTTTTTTTTTTTTGAGATAGGGGTCTCACTAACTTTTTCCATGGGCTGGCTTTGAACTACTGTCTACTTCACAAGTAGCTGGGATTATAGGTGTGAATCCCAGTTCCCAGCCGTCATTCTGTATAATTTTTCAAAAGATTATGACCTTAATTCTTCCTTAAGATGTGAAATTTTAACTTTGTTCAGAAGAATTTAACGTTTTATTATATTAATGCTTACTACTAGTTATATAATATTTTTGAGTGTTTTTAACAGAGCCATCCTTAGCCAAGATATGGAAGGATCTTAAACGTCCATCTAAGAATGAACAGATAAACAAAATGTGGTATATACATACAGTGGAATATTATTCATCCTTAAAAAGGAATGAAATTTTGATATATGGTACAACATGACATGGATGAACCCTGGAAAATATTATGACACAAAAGGACAAATACTGTATGATTTCATTTGTATAAAGTACCTAGATAGTCAGATTTATAGTGACAGAAAGTAGAATAGAGTAACCAAAGTCCAAGGGTAGGGAGCTAAAGGGAGTTACTGTTTTGGGGTACAGAGTTTCTGATTTGGGTGACAGAATAGCTTTGGAAGTAGATAGCGGTATTGGCGGCACAGCTATGTGAATGTACTTAAGACTACTAAACTGCACGTACGAGGGCAGAAATGGTAAGTCTTGTATAATGATAATAAACAGTCATGCTCTCGTCTATCAGAGTTGCCTGCCAACAAGTTGCTACAGTCTGAATTGTGGATGGATAGACCAGTGAAAGTCACTGTGGTTGCCCCAAGGTGATGACATCTGTGGCCAAATTTCCCTGAGTTTCCTTCGATTAGCAGTGGCTGGAACTCAGAATGAGAAATGAGCAGGAAATTCTGCTCAGTATAACAGTAAGATCCATTACAGCAACTATTCAGATAGAGTTTTCCCGTAGAAACAAATATTTACATATGCAAACCTGCACCCTTTGGCTGATGATGTTTTCCCCCTTGAAATGTGTTTTTGTTTGCTCTCAGATGGGCTCATTTGGATATTGCTTACCATAATCCTCTCCTACACAGATGCAAGTGCAGTTGGTGAAGTTCATGAGTTTACTAATTAAAAGCTTAAATCCTCAAGAACCTCCGTCTTCGTTAACCAGAGGTCCACTTAAGACATTTGCCCTTCAGCAGCAGCAGCTTTGTACTCAGCGTTGATTCGGCTTCGTGGTGGAATAACGTTGTTGATCATGTTCCCCTCTCCTTTCTGTGGTCAGAGCAGCCCCAAGCCTGCATCACATAGACACCTGAGCTTGGATGTGGGTCCTTGGTGCTTTCTCCCAGACCACTGTGGATCTAACCATAACGATGGTCCTGATGTACTGTACTGTTCTCCTTCTCATTTTTCTTGCAGTTTCACCACTCTGATTGCCTTTCAACCTGGCTCCTTCATTTTATTGCCACTAACTACCTCATCTTCAGTCAAAAGCCCGAATTTCAGGACCTTTCAGGTAGAGTGCTAATTTCTGTTTTGAAAAGAAAACTTTTGGGCCTGTGATGTAGGTAGAGTACATGCCTAGCATGCCTGACACCCTGAGTTCAACCCCCAGTACCACAAACAAACAAAAATCACTTTTTGTTCTTTGTTCTCAGATTAGAGGTATAATTTGCAAAAATAGTAGTTATAACACAGTAAGAGTAGTCAATATAATAAATTATGCAGTGTGGTACCTGTGTTACATAAGCAGCTTGACCTGTGTTATACAAGAAGTTTTCTAATGATTATTTTATGGTTCCCATTCATTTTTAAGTGCACTTTTCCCCCTGAGGGAGATACAGTGGTGAAAAGTATCCTCAGGTGGCATTTGGTTCTGATAAATGAGATCTTAGTTCTAACTACCTAAGTAAGTCAGAAGCAAAACTTAAATAGTACATAACTTTTTTTCCTGTAAAGGAACTTAACTAGTGTTTATTATTTGTAATATTGTTTTATACTTGATAGCTATATTAAGTATATCTGTGTAGGAGCTCCACATAATACTTTGGAATAACTACTTTTTATTGATCAGCTGTTATAAAACTTGCTGTTCAGAAAGTGTAAGTAACATGATTTTTAAGGTAAATTTTTGAGGTGAGATCCCTAGTACTGCATAAGAGGAAAGAATGTGAAAATGGAACAATTGTCAGACTAATCAACAATCACATATAGTGGTTTGCTCATGTTATTACCTAATATAGACTCAGGAAAAAAACGAGCTAAAAAGACGAGGAAATCATGAATATTTAGTGAAGTTCTTTCAAACTCTGGACCAAGAAATCGCCATAGAGATGCTGGAAGGTCTTCTGGGGTGGGATACAGAAAGTAGAGGGTGGAAGGAATAAAGGAAAAGCTACTCCTACAATTATGAAAACCAGGGAATAGTCCATTTTTGGCAGATGTATTCAGCTAGTCAACAAAACATCTTATGCATGTTGGGAGCCTCCTTACATAGAGTGCAACTGTTAAGAGAATGGAGTGATACAGTCTAATGAAAGCAAAACAACAGGTGTTATGAGCTGGAAACTTTTTTGCAAGAAAACACAAAGTCCAGTCATAAAGATAAGATATGCTTCTGCTTACTGTCAGTTAGTAGGGATGTTAATATATCATTATTCTTTAAGAAGTTAGTTAAAAATTAACTGCATTTTTTGTCTTAGATCCACTTTTACTCTGCCACCTTAGGCTACCTTCATTTGTAATAGAAAAATAAGATGATTTTCACTATTTTGTATAGCTATTTTATACATGAAGTACTATTCCAGCCTTGGGAGAAACATACTCTATAAATCCTTTTTTATTGTTTTTGTTCCTTACATGATTGCCCATAATGTATGTGATGGCCAGCTGCCTTAGTGAAAAGCGAGGCTGCAGGGCAAGGAGCGGAGGCCGCTGCTCTGTTCCTTGGGTGGGAATCAAAGGGTGTTTTGAGAGCTCTCACCCAAGGTGCCTCTTCATGTCCAGCAGGCTGCTGTGATGTATGGTTCTTTTCAGCAGAGGAAAAAGCCGCTTTGGGTAGGGGAGAAAATAATTCTTTAAATCAATAGTTACAGATTAATAGCCTATGGGTTCAATGCAACCTTCCAAGGGGTTTTATTTGAGCCACGCTTCTTAAATTTTATTTTAACATAGTATCACATTTTAAAACTCCAGAATTTCTGGCTTCTTTTGGAAAGTTGGAAGATCTGGATATCCTGGGCCCTCCATCCCACATGCCAACAGCCTGGAGCTGAGCAGGGCTGCCCTCTGAAAGGAGAATGTTCTCTCCAGAGGGTTAGACTTACTTTCCTCTCAGTCACCTTGTATCTGGCCTGCTTCACATGGTCACTTGGAGTTTGAAAGGGTTCTTGTAACAATTACTTTATGGCTTTCTCGTAGAATTCCCCATTTTCAACCTCAGAAGTTACCAAATTACTATTGGAATTCTACAAATTGTTTTCACTTGACTGAGATCTTTGTTCTTTTTAAAGGTGTTTATAAATCAGAAAGTGAGATGAAAAGGTCTCATATCAAGGCAGGCATGGATTCTTCAGAACCCAACAGAATAGCTCATGGAATATTAAATGTTTACATGTTGGATTCTTATGAAAACAAACAGCAGTGCACAGGAATATGTTCCCCTTGGTGTTTATTTGTTCATTTTTCTTACAGTTAGCTTAATTTAGCTCAGTATGACATTGTGTATCATGTAATACGGAGTTTTTGTTTTTGCACCAGCCAGAGCTCATTTGTGTTCATTTTTCTTTGAAATTGTATTAAGTATACAAGTAATCCCATGTCACTTCTGCTTCTTAATGAAACCTAGAGAACTGATTTCCCTAAGGACCTAGCTTGTTTCTTTTCATCCAGGTCCTGTGGCCTGGATCAGGACATTGGTAATCCACATCCGAATAGTGAAGGTTAAACAGCAAACGGAGAAGTGAAAACTGAATTAGCAGAAGGAAAAGTGAGTGCACACACAGCAATGAGCAAGCAAGGTGATTGATTCACTGGCGAGGCACCAGGTGTTTCACAGCCAGGAGCCAAAAGTAGTGGAATTAATTAGTTGAATGCTGATTAAGAAACTTTGGTGCACTCCCACCCTCACCCCCACAAGCCCAGGCAGTCTTCACAGGAGATAAGAAGTTTATTTCTGGAGAAATTAAGCCAAAACAATTACAAAATTGTGAACTCTGGGAATAGCTGAGATCGGGCAGTGACCTGGACTGAAACATGGGATGAGGTGAAAGTGTACACTGTGTAGTAAGGTCCTAGCCTCCTCCTTGTTTCTAGGGTCTAAAATTCTGGTAGTTAGACATTTGCCACCCTGGCTCCCATGCCCTGGGCATGACCCGGAAATATTCTTCTCCAGCCTCAGATGTCAGTCATTTGGAAAACATCTGCTCAGTCATGTGCTGTGTTCCAAAGTTGGCTAGTCCTATCCATCTCCAGTCAACTTTGTAGTATGGAACTCATCAGTAGCACTGAGGATCAATAGATGTTTGAAGCAATTGCGGACATAAAAAATAGGTACCAAAAATGAAACAAAATAAATACAATAGAAGGTGAATTTAGAAGAACAGAGATGGAGGAGTAAAGGAAAACCTAAAATTAATATCCTCAAAAATTAATGATATTCATCCATAAAACAGTAGAACATTATTACAAAGAAATAATATTCATAGAGACAGAAAGGACAATGATTGCCAGGTGCTGGGGGTAGGGAGTTGTTTAATGGGTATAGACTTTGTTTTTGCAAGTTGAAAATAGTCCTGAAAATTGGTTATATAACAATGTGAATGTACTTAACATTAGTGAACTATATATTTAAAACTAATTAAGTGAGCACTTGCCTAATAAGTGTAAGGTCCTGAGTTCAAACCCCAGTACCACCAAAAAATTTTAAAAGATGGTGAATTTTATGTTAGGTACACTGAACCACAATATATACCAAGCAACTCAATAAAAAATAAGAGCAAACTTCTGGAAAGTAGGACAAAAAAAGATAAAGGAACAGAGCAGAGAAATACATTTTCTTAGTTGGAAGCTAAGTCTAGACAGTGCAGTATGCAGTAGACATTTGTATAGGAAAAACAACAGGGAGGAAACTATCAAAGAAATAACACAACCAGGTGCCAGTGGCTCATGCCTGTAATCCTAGCTACTCAGGAAGCAGAGATCAGAAAGATTGTGGTTTGAAGCCAGCCCAGGCTAATAGTTCTTGAGACCCTATCTTGAAAAAACTATCACACAAAAGGGTGGATGGAGTGACTCAAGGTGAAGGCCCTGAGTTCAAACCCCAATACCGCGCAAAAAAAAAAAAAAAGTAATAATACAAATTTTCCAAGTATTAAAGGACCCACTCAACAAATTGAAAGAATTTGCTAAGTGCTCAGCTAAATGTATGAATCTACAGGGTACATCATTGCTACATGTAAGAGCACTGAATAGAAACAGAATAGAGATCACTTACCAGGAGTGTACATCTGAATGGCAGTGGGGTTCTTGGCCTTGGAAATGAGAGTAGTAAAGTGTTGTCTTCAACATTCTCGGGAGTTTTTGTCAAATATGTCCAGAAATAGACTAAAGGTATTTCATCACAAATGATCTCAAAAATACTTTTCCATTCCCCTTTTTCAAGACGCTAATAAAGGGTGTGCTTCACCAAAACTAGGAAATACACAAAGTAAAGGCCTGGAGTTCAGAAATGGAGAGATCCAACATGAAGACTTGGAGCAAGCCTGGAAACCAAGAGGGTGCAGGGCTCCTGGGAGAAGGCAGGTAGTCCTCTGGAGCAGTGGCAGGAACAACAGAATGGACGGATTATCTGACAACTGTGACTTGGTGGGAAATAGAATCAAGAATGCAGAGTTTGGAAGGTCAAGTTAAATGTAAAGAAAAGTAAATGGAAAAAATGAGTCAGTTATCTCCAGGAAAAACAAGTGTTGTTGAAAAAGAAAAGGGAAATAAATACTAACTGATGAGGCAGTGAACAAGCCATATATAATTGTAAATCACATAATTAAATAAGCCCTGATAAGCAATTTAACTAAAACTGTGTTTGGAAGGCTTGAGGAAAAGTGTAACAGAGCTTGGATCTCATCTACCTCATAGGAAATTAATAGTTAATATTCTAACTCATCCAAAATGAAATGTATTCAACTAACATTCTTTCTCTTAAAATTTTAGTGGAAGAACGCAGTTTTGTTGAAAAGCACAGATGGCCATCAAACATGTACTTGAAGCAGCTTGCGGAATACAGGAAGTATATTCACTCCCGGAAATGTCGTTGCTTAGTAATGTAACCTGGAGATTTTACATGCTTACGCTTTTTTATTATTATGAAGAATGGGATACCTCCAGGTTCCAGTAAAACGCTTAGAACTGAAACCAATATGGGTGTTAAAATAATCACCATACAGCTTAATATGTTTATTAGTTCTCTTTGAAAAAACTATTGTGGACTTAAAAGGGAACAAAGTATACCACAGACTAAAACTAAGGCTTCACTGTAGAATGTAAAGCTGTCGGACAACTTTACATTTCCTGTTACTTTACTGACGTGAAGACCCCTCTCAGTTAAGAAATGTTTAATTTTTTTTTAAAAATCATATAGGATTAACACAGAAATTTCATCATGTCTGATTAATTGCTCTGTTAAATTGAAGGGCATTTAAAGATCCCATGCAACTATTTCTACAGTCAGAAATTTAGGGGAAGACCAACATGAGATTTTAGGATTAGAAGTTTGCCTAAGACTTTGAAAGTGGCATACTACTTGGTTCCAAATCAGTGACAGTGTTAGAAACAACAACATGGAGAAGACTTGTGTCAATTGCTTTGACTCCTCCCTGAAATTCTGCATAGGCAGGACACCTAACCAGGGCTGGTTTTATCTGTGCGTAACCTGTGCAGTTGCACAGGTCCTCACACTTGAAAGGGCCTGGCACTTGGTTCAGTGCTCTGGTATTGCAGTAGTGAAATTCTTTAAAATGTTTGAAAAAGGGCTTGTGTTTTCAGTTTATGTATATTTTCTGAGAGGAAACATACAATGTCTTCTTGCTCAAGCATCACTCTCTGACAGCAGAAAAGAAGTACTGATATTGAGAGAAGAGGGTGGTGTGACTTGTTGAGGGGCAAGAGTGTGGTAATGGTTTCCTGCCTTTGGAGAAGTTGGTACACCCAGGGCTGCCACTGCCACTGCCACCTCCACTGGCATGTGAGATGTGCGTTGTGTTAGCTCTAAAACACTCACAATTCTGCCTCAATCCCAGATGAACAAATAATTTCTCAATTATTCTGTAAGACCAGAATGTTGGTAAGAGTGACTGACTAGCCTGACTTAAGTATATGTATGTAAAGATGCCCTCAGGAAAATATTCTTTCCAGAGATTTTGCTATGAAGGCTTAAGAATTTCCCTTTCTTGGTATGTTTGCCAAGATTAGGATGTCAGTGGCTTGAATTGCTTGAATTTTTTCCAAAGGACCACAAAAGGCATTTGATATGGACAGCAAGAGTCTTATGCTTCAAGGTTACCTTACCAAATGAGGTAAAAGAAAGGATATAAATCACAGACCATTAGATGTGGAGAGAATGGTACTTGGATAGAGGAGACAATTAGAGTTTCTCATCACAGGTACACAGAAATGATTGCTAGTTAGTGTTAGCATCATTGTCATGTCATATAGTATTGGAATGTATTTTTCCTCTAATTTCTAGTGACTCTAGAATACACATATTTCTTCCACCTTTTCAAAGCTTTTATTAAAATGTTCTACCATCATATTAGGATTCCATACAGTTAGTCCTTGTATGTATATCAACACTGTCGGAATAAAACAGTAAAAATTCCCTATAGATATATTCCAAGAAACCTAACTTTAATTGGACTATGTCAATGAATATTACTGGAATGCATTTTATGCTTTTTATATTTTGATCACTTGAGTTAATCAATTGTTGGCAAATCCCATTTGACTAGATTTAACATTGTGAAGAATAAATACTGTAGCTGATTTCTAGAAGTCCACTCACATTTACAAACTTTTAAAATGCAGTGACATCCCTTTGTTCATTATAAATATATTCAGCCCCCATATTAATTACAGCATCTAAAATTCTAAAAATTTTAAGAAATTGAGAAATACAAGTTTTGAAACAATTATTTTCTTGAAAATACTATTTATTGGCTAAATATATCATAACTAGTTCTTTTAGCTTGTTTGGTATGAGCAGGTTGAGTTTGGAAGCTGGTACTCCCTGGTGTTGAGCATGTAGTCTTTATTACAAAAGTTCTTCACCACCTGTGTGAGTGATTCAGAGACGGACAGTACCGTACTCCAGAGCAAGTGAGAACACAATGAAGTTTTTGAACCTATTTGAGTTCAAATGTATACATACATGTTTGAATTCACTCAGTTTAAAATAATAAGAAATTTTAAATACTTAGAGAAATGAGTACTGGTTTGGGTGTCTTTTTTTTTTTTTTTTTTTTTGCAATTGAAAGATTATTTCTAGATGGATTGTTTTATGCTGATTTCTGCTTCAATATATCCTACCAATCATTTTAATTAACTGTATAGTAGAAGTAAGGCCTTTTCCTTCTTGGCCAGGTTTTCATCCTATTTAACCTTTGTGTACTTTTGACTACTCTATGCTGATAGGAGACCAAATTTGTAGCAGAGAACTTCACTATTGCAGCTGAAATTCATCCTGTCCACACAACATGATCGCTTCACATTGGCTGGTAGCAGAAGAGAGAATTACTAAAGAATTGGATAAATTTGACTTCCCAAACAGCCCAGTTTTTCAACTGTAATTTTACAAAGTACACTACACTGATATAGTTCATTAGACAAAAATATCCTCAAAGATTATTTTATTTACAGCAGCGGTTAAATTCAACCTCTAATAATTTTGCAAAGAAGGGTATGTGTGTATTTTAATATAGCCTGACCTGAATTTATATGTTTTTAACTTTAGTATTTAACATTTTGTAACAAATAAATCTTTTTTAAAACAAGTTTAATGACGAGTCCTATGGTTACTTTACCCCAGATGTTGAATTGCTGCAATTATTTTGGGAATACTACTCTGTTTCTCAGGCATAATTACATTTCGCAGATAGTTTCCTCTATATAAACTACTTAGAATGTTGCTGATGTTGTTGATGACTCATATATATGTGATAAGATGAAGGGATGGGGATATATTCAGTGGTAAAGTACTTGCCTAGCATGCTTGAGGCCCTGGGTTCAATCCCTAGCACTGAAAAAAAAAAATACACTTTTAACAATTGGTTAAAGGATAAAAGAATCTCTCTTAGCAAGGTAACTGCCTTTATTCAGAAGGGTTTTGATCATTACTTAGCACAGTAGTTCCCTGTATTCTTGAATGTTGGATAGGCCTAAGAATTTGCAAAGTGGAAAGCCACTCTGTAATAGAGGCTAAAGAGCCCAGATAGGAGGAGGAGAGAGAAAGGTGGTCACAACATGAAGACATATTATGCACTGTATGATGCAACCCCTCTCCAGAAGTGTCCCAAGTTGTCTTTAAAGTCTGCTGAATTCATCCAGTACTCTCCAGTTGTTACGGAGTTTTGTTCCTAACATAAATCTGATTTCGGTACACACCTTCCTAGAAGACCTCTGTTGCCCATAGAAGACTTCCACAGTACTCATTGCCTGCAAGGCGTTATAATCTTTCTTTGTCTTTTTCTCCCTGGACGTTCTTCTCCCAAGCAGAAAAGATGTCCCCCATCTTGACACATGGACTGTCCTTTCAGATTATCTACTTGCAAATCTCATACTTTTCGTATGGCCTGTGTTGGGTTATCATTCCTGTTTATCTTGCAAAAACCTTGCATATCCTGAACAACTCAACTTAAACATTTCTCCTTTGCTTTCTGTGCCTCTCCCAGAAAGAATTGCTTCTATATGTGTCTTTCCCTAGCTCTTTATTTGTATCTTTGTTACAGAACTTAACAGCATTTCCAAGTATGTATATAACAGTAGTCTCTACTTAGGGCAGAGACCATGCCTTGATTCCTCTTCCTAACCCTCCAGCGAGCACAGGTCCTGGCATAACTGTGTGTTAAATGTCACTGAAGAGGTCAAATTGCCTGGATTGGGACAATAGTCACAAACTTGCAAATGAAAATGGAAAGCGTGCTCACACTTGAAGCTTTGTTTGCCCTGTGTCAGGAGTAGTCATAGTCTGCTGGCCTATGGGACCTGGATGTTCAGATAGCCAGCTGTCTTGTGAGTTAAAGATGTAGAATGGCAAAGTGATAAATGATGCCAATCAGGGGATGCAGAACATAAACAAATGATCCTTGGGGATATCTCTGCCTGGGAGTTTCCGCTGAGATCATGCAGGAAGATATGATGAGATGGGAGAATTCTTGTTGGGTGTAATGAAGGGCGAAGCAGCCTCCAAGTTACACACAAGTTACACAGGCAGTTTATAATGTTCTCAGTATCTTACTTGTCCTCCACTGTTACGATTTAATGTTCAACAAAGAGGTAATTACCACTGTCAGTATGGGAGTGTATGACATCCTTTTACATGTTCAAAGCAAAGAACAGTCTTAATTACTCCCACTAAAGAAAATGGACATAGTATATTACTTATTTGTAATTAATTTACTGGTAATTTGAACTGGGAAGATCTATAGGAAAAATAAAAAACTAACAATGAGCAAAATATTAACTTTTCCATAAAAGTTGACCTTATCCATCTTCTATGACTTAGAACCTATCTTATTTCATTCATACCCAAGCAAGATCTTTTTTCTTCTACCTGTATCACCACTAAAATGCTCGTGCTTTTACCTCTAGGACTCTGAAGTTCCCAGTGGTTTAGTCTCTTGACATGTCATGTTCAAGCAGAACAGTGCAATAGCTGGAAATTACTTACAGAGATTTCATTCTCTTTATTTTGTGTGTGTGTATGTGTTAGGATTATGTAATGGGTAGTATTTTTGCCTGGTTCAAAGTTCAAAATAATATAAAAATTAAACTTTAGGAAGGAAGTCTTTCTCCCCTCCCCCCACCCTACCCCCATTTTCCTCTACTTTTCCCATTCCCTCCATTCCCTGTAGTAATCACATTTATTAGTGTCTTGTATACTATTACAAATTACAGTGTTTAATTATGTGAATACAAGCAAGTGAAGTGCATATTCTCATGTTCCTCCCATAGCAGACAGAATAATGACCCCCAAAGGTGCCCACATCCTAATTCCCAGAACCTATGATTATATTACTTTTCATGATAAAGGTGATTTTAGTGATGTAACTAAGGATCTTAAGATAGGGAGATTATTGCACATGGGTCTGTTGGCATCACAAGAGCCATTTCAAGTGGGAAAGAACAGAACAGGAGTTGGGGAAGGAGCAGTGTGGTGATGAGAGATTTGAAGGTGCTGCCCTTTGAAGAGGGATGAAGGGGTCATGTGCCCAAGGATAGGACAGCCCCTAGAAGTTGGAAAGAGCCAGGGAAGGACTCCCCTGAGAGCTTCTAGAAAAACAGCCCAGCTAACAAGTGGACAATCAGACTGATTTTTGACATATGACTTCCAGAACTTCCAGAATAAAATTGTATTGTTTAAAGCCAGTAAGTGTGTAGTCATTCCCTATAGCAGCCTAACCAGCCCACTAAATAACTAGATTAGTGAACAGCTGTGTGAGGTCTCAATATGTTAACTGGTATTTGTTAAACTAGTTCTCACACTGCAGCAGTCATGAGGATTACCTGATTGGCTAATTAAAACATAGAATGCTAAGCCTTATTCCCAGAGTTCTGATTTTGTTGGTCCTGCTAAGCCTTATTCCCAGAGTTCTGATTTTGTTGGTCCGGGGGAGGGGGGGGCCTGAGAATTTGCATTTAAGACAAGTTCCCAGGTGATGCTGATGTTGGTGGTCCACAAACCATACTTTGAGAATCCTTAGAACAGTTTCAGTTCTCAGGTCTGAAGCATCAAGATCATCCTCCCCTCTAGCTCTTCCCTACCCACAACTGTGCCCCAACCATAGGGTCTTGCCCTTCCCACTCCTGTCCCCCTCACCTTTGTTTTGTTTTTCTAGTTCTGACACCCTAGCCCCGTTTTCTGATTCTGTTTCACAGGCAGTTAAACAAAACGGACTTTTCCTGGAAGCCTGGGCTGCTGGAGCAGTCATTCACAGGCTCTTAGGATGATTCCTCTTTATTTGTTAGTGGAAAGGAGGTGGGGGCTGGACTCAGCCAAGCTCAGGTTCACACACACGGCTTCCTGCAGACCTTCCCTCCCGTTGTTTTGTTGACGTTCCAATCTCCCTTTATGCTCAGGGCCTTTACTGAGAGCTGGGTCTTTGGCCCTTTTGATGCAATTGATGATGCAGGGACTTGAATTCCAAGAAATTATGTAAAATTAAATACTTAAAGGTCTTAGGAACAGTCCTATATGGAATTTTGAGTCTCTTAATATTTTCCTTTAATAGAATTTGTTACTGGATCATGAAATACTTGTTTTCCTGAGTTACTTTTTTCATTATCATCTTATTTAAAAAAGAATTCAGTTGTCCCTGTAAGAATCGGAAGAAATTGAAGCATAATTTTAAAAAATGAGCTTTTTAAGGTGAAGGGCCTTGAAAGACCAAATTTAGCCAAACCAGATATTTATCACAGGATCCAGGAAGTTACTAAGCAACCTCCCCCCCTTCCGTACACATGCTAGCTTGGAACTTCACTTTTAGGAAATGTAAGTCTCTAGAGAAATTTACAGTGCCCTTCTCTGAGAAATGAATTGCCTCAGAAGCAATAGGTGTTTTCCTCTTGAGTTAACTGCACACTGAAGTCCCTAAGAGGCCACATGCTAGGACCCGCGATGCTCCGTAGGAAGGCAGATAGCAATGTTGCAATGTCCTGGCAAGGTTAAAGTGCTTTCTTAGTGGAAAGCAAAAGTTATGATAGTTTCCTTGGCAAGATTTAAAATGTAAAGACAATCATTGAAATAAGTCACTAGGTATTATTAATTATTACCTGGATAATTGATTATTTTCCTAAGCTCTATATCACCCCCACCAATAAGAACAAAATTTCTATTTTATAATCCTCACATTTTCTAATAAATATCGTTAGAAAAGCTGTCTTGTGTGAGGCCTTGGTATTAATCAGCATCTAGAGGTTCCTAAGCTGCTCACTGTTCTGGACCTGCTTGTTGCTTGTGTCTTACTTTGGTTTTTCTATGTCTCCTAGTAGCCTTTCCAGAACATTATATTTGCTTAACAAGTGTCTGTGGGATGCAGTGATACACAGCTATCAGGGTTAATTGTCTCCAAGTTAACAGTGTTGACTCTTAGGGCCCAGGCACCCCATTTCTGCTTAGCGCCAAGAGAACTTGATCAGAGGGATTGAGCTCAGGTAGAGCCAGGAGAGACACTGATATCAGTGACAGGTGCTCAAGGGACTTCAGGGGCAGGGCCTTCACCA